AAGTCATGTTAAGCACCCTTCCCGTCTACACACCTTTTGAAAACAGCAGGTCCAAAGCAGCCAAAGTTGACCCCGGCACCAGCAGCCAACAGCCAGCACTGCTTTCTTTCCTTTAGGTCTCCAAAAGTTTGCAACTGGATGCTAAAAGGAACAATGTTTTTGCTACGTTGCACCATGCGCATGTCAACCTTGCAATCACCAAAAAAGAGTGTCCCTGTGTTCGGGACGCTGCCTGTTCGGCAGACTAGTCACGGTCTCCTGTCCTGGGTGGCCCTGGAAACTAGAAGTTTAAGCATCTTTCGATCTATCTACCTAATTATCTGTCTATTTGTCTCTCTGTCTCCCTATCTATCTATATATATATACTGTATGTATTGTATATATATATTTATACTGTATATCTATATATTATACATATTATAATTGTACAACTACATAATATATAATTACACATATTTGTAGTTCCAAGGACCTATGTCCTGGCATATCGCAACGCCACTCTTGGCATACTTTTCTTTCTTTCCAGGGTCGGCGGCAGGGCGGCAGCCCTGCAATAAAATAATTATATATATATACATATATATATATATATATATAAGAATGTCTAACATATACCCTCCCGTAAACATGGCAATGGGAAAGCACAATCTTACCCTGGATGCCTCAAACTAAGACTCTCAAATGGGGATTTTCCATAGGATTTTCCATTCACGGGACCATCGATGCTTGAGATTCACCCATTTCGTGGTGGTTCTTGGCTGGCGTGATTCAAAAGGCCCTTGATATCAGGATCGGTGCGAACACTGTTCACAAACTACATCATGGAATCATCAATATTGGTAACATATTCCATCAATTGACAGAATATTGGAACATATTGATAAGATATTCATACATATTCATACATATTCCATAAATTGACAGGATGATTGTTGATGATTGAGACGCCCACCGCTTCACCGCTTCCTGCTTCTTGGTCCAACTAAAAAAACAGCCAGCCACCAGCCACGCTGGCGCCCACCTTGACACTGATGAAACATCCATATGCGGGGTCATAGACCTCCTTGAAGTAGCGGCCTGGGCGCCCAGAGCTTCGAAAACTCACCGTTTCGTTTAGAGAATCTGGGAACGAAAGCCAGATCAGAGAGCCAGGTCTTAATGGTCTTAGTTGAAGGGGGTAAATCCAACAGAGAAAAAATAGAAAGGTTGTTTAATCCTGTCAACGGTTCAGATTCCCCCAGCCGGACATTGGGCTGAGCGGACTGACAGTTTGCCCAACAACAACAGGTTTTTTGTTGACCAATCAGTGTGGAGATGCAACCAACAAAATGATAGGGATGATATGGGGTTGTCAAAAAACATACCGAAATACCCCAAACTTGCAAGTTTCATGCTTAAAAATGGATACACAAATTGATTGCAATTGGGGGTACCCCATTTTCAGACAAGCCAAGCTGGACTCTGGAGTTGAGGTTCTTCAAGCCGGCGTGTGACTCACGCTGTGAAATTGCAGTGTGATGATTTTCCTAATCCCACAATGTTGTGGTTCAAATGTTCATTGTTATTGGTCAATATCTATGCAAATGTTGGTTTCCCAATAAATACACTAACATCTTCCAAAGCCAGCAATTTCCATTCCAAGTTGTCAGCAATTTCTGAAATTGCTTCTGTAGCTAGGTTTTTCATGTCGTCCCAACTCCATTGGTTGCACCCTCACCAAAACCAGCGTCAGGTTTTACCCTCCGATGGTAAGTTACATTGGTATGAATGGGTCCTGCTTTAAATCATCCCGGTTCATGACTGAATCTTCACCAGATTAATATGATTAACCACTTCCCCCAAATATCGAGTACCCTCTATGGGAAAGCCAAAAAGGGGGGAATCACATATTAGGGGAACGCGATTCGAAGTGCCGGTCCTTGCTTTGATCCAGCGCCAGTGGGGGTCGTTTCAAGACCCTTTAGAGACCATCCGAAATACAGAGATGTGTTGAAAGATTTCACATGGTTTAACAACACAATTCAATCCTTCAAGTTGGGCTTGTTTTTTTTTTTGCTTATCTTGGTTTTCCCAATGATTTACCGTAACCGTCATCTGCCACATTTTCTGCGGCGCCATGGCACAGACGTCTCCCAGGTTGGTCCGCTCAATGCGGCCCTTGACGATGCGCGCAGTCACCTCATTGGGGCATCTATAGTGGATACTTTGCTACCCTCAATTCACCCATGGGTTAAATTGCTCATTTCCCAATGTGAGACTTTACCTATGAAATGATGGGTTACCAACGAAATTTTCATAGGTCAAGGTAGTGCAAACGGCCCCTCCATGTGTGGCTCGAGATTTTCCAATGGGTTTCCCTCTACCAGGCCCTTGGATGTGACGATGGTGGTGAAACTGACGCACAGAAGCATGGTTCATCCATACCGTATTCCATTTAATCATAGCGGATGTGATAGTGTCCCATAATGTCCCATAGTTCACCTTCTTACATGGGATATTCCCAGTGAATCCCAGTGATATATGTATATATATAATATACACATGCTTAATGCAATAGATAGAATGATATATTGATGTGCATACAGAATCAAATCACTGTGTAGAAATAAAAATACACACATGTACATACAGAAAATATAGATATATTAGATATCTATGATAATTTCGTTAAACATGATCATACACTACGGTTACTACAACATGAAAAATTACATTTAGAAAATTTACCCTCTGGTAATTTAATATAATTAGCTATTGAAAATGCCCATTAATAGTGGATTTTCCCATTAAAAATGGTGATTTTCAATAGCTATGTAAACGTTTACCAGAGGGTAGACATAGCTTCTCCGCTTCTCCGATGCCTTTCTCCAGGCCTCGTTGTATTCCTCCTGCAAGGTGCAAGTGATGATGGGCGTTGAGATGCCCTTGGCCGCGTTGATGATCTCCTGGTGACTGAGGAAAAAACCCCAAGGCTAAGGCGAAGCAAAACTAAATTAGCATTAATATGATAATATGTGACCAATAAGGATTAATGGTGATCAATAGGGATTAATGGGTATTAATGGTGATCAATAGGGATGAAATTCATAATATCTGGGTAAATTATAATATTTCACTAACCTGAATTGTTGGGCCATTTGGAAATGATTTCCCATATGAAAACCATGATTCCAGTGAGGGAGACCAGTGAGGTCGTTATAATTTACCCAGATAATATGTACTGATTACAATAATTTTGTTGGTTACTCATATGTATCAGTCTATTACATAATACATGTATACAATATGCATATGCATATGCATATACCATATACCATATACCATATACAATATACAATATACAATCCATATACCATATAAATATACATATATACATATACATATATACATATATCTATATACATATATCCATATACATCCGCGTCTTTGTATACGTTACAGTATATATAATGTCCGTATAGATATTATGCAATTGTGTGTGTCTTGATGGAGTCTGAATTACAGTAATACTTACGGACGCATCAAAAAGCATAGTTGCTGTACCATCAATATACATGTTTTGTGGATAATAAAAAGGGGAACCATCCTCCCAAAATAATATCATTCATATACTAGAAAAAGGGGTCATGTCGGTCCATGATTCCAATGTGAGACTGCTGAATCCTGCTGAAGTGACCCGCTCATCTCCTTGATTCGCGGAACTCCCAAGGTCACATTCATGCTGGCCTGAAAAGACACTTCAGACAGTTCAGACAGTTCAACTGGGAAGAAGTTTGTCATGGCAATGAGGTGGTTTCACCATCCCATCATGGACATGTCATGTCAGAACTAGGTCCGTGTGTTGTCCTGCCGTCCATTCTTTAATTCGAGGTTCATATACAGAAGACTCAGAAAACTGTAACATACTACACTGTACAGACTACTACAGTTATAACTTTTTTCTGAGCGCCCAAGATTCCCCGTAGAGCTTACACTGATGCAAAAACAACTCCTGCCCGAATCTGCTGGGCTGGTCCCCCTCCAAACACCATGGACCCATGCGAAAAATATCTGTAGTCCAAAAATGGTGATCCACAAATCCACACATCTCCGATATGCTTTGTTTTTTTTGAACCAAGAAACCTCCAGGAACACAGAGTCACCAAACCGTGAAATGATTGAAATGCTTTTTTGAGAAACCCCTCAAAAAGAGATATCTCATCTTCCAGGGATCATAGTTTGGCAGTTTAGGGTGGCAGAACTAGTTTCTGTGTCTGAAAATAGGCTTCCCAGGGTTTCCCCCCAAAAAAACATGTTGATTTATTCTTCCTCGTTCAGATTGCAATTTTTCGGAGCATCTTGTTTTCTTGGTCACCAAACCGTGAAATGCTTTTTTGAGAAACCCCTCAAAAAGAGAGATCTCATCTTCCAGGGATCATAGTTTGGCAGTTTAGGGTGGCAGAACTAGTTTCTGTGTCTGAAAATAGGCTTCCCAGGGTTTCCCCCCCCAAAAAAAATGTTGATTTCTTCCTCGTTCAGATTGCAATTTTTCGGAGCATCTTGTTTTCTTGGTCACCAAACCGTGAAATGCTTTTTTGAGAAACCCCTCAAAAAGAGAGATCTCATCTTCCAGGGATCATAGTTTGGCAGTTTAGGGTGGCAGAACTAGTTTCTGTGTCTGAAAATAGGCTTCCCAGGGTTTCCCCCCAAAAAAACATGTTGATTTATTCTTCCTCGTTCAGATTGCAATTTTTCGGAGCATCTTGTTTTCTTGGTCACCAAACCGTGAAATGCTTTTTTGAGAAACCCCTCTCAGAGAGATCTCATCTTCCAGGGATCATAGTTTGGCAGTTTAGGGTGGCAGAACTAGTTTCTGTGTCTGAAAATAGGCTTCCCAGGGTTTCCCCCCAAAAAAACATGTTGATTTATTCTTCCTCGTTCAGATTGCAATTTTTCGGAGCATCTTGTTTTCTTGCCGATTTCTGTACCAACCAACATTACTTCGTCACATAGCCCTAGATTCAGATCCAGGGCAACCCTACCACACCAGCAAAGTGGAAGGTCTTCAGCGTCATTTGAGTGGCCGGTTCACCAATGGATTGCGCCTCGGCACACCGGTGTTCCGATCCCCGAATGGCGAAGATGTGGAAAGATCTGGGGATGAATATTGGGCAATCCCTTCATATCCCTTCTATATATTTGAGGAACACCTCCAATATACTGGATGAATCTACGAATCATCTAATATGTAGATTATTTGAGGAAAACCGCCAAAATATGCCAAAATACTGATTCGTAGGAGTTTCCAGTTCATGGATTCAGTATGGATTATGAAAATCTCTAACATAAGAATAGTGTAATCCCTAATCATCAACCTTTTTGTTTTGAAACTGCAACATGAACTATCCTCGGATGCTAAGAAGATTGATGAAACTGGCAAGCCCGCTTCGGAGTTATCTCACCAGTGCTCTCCAATTGAAGAATGATGCTCCGCAAGTGTCCCCTACCAATAGACAAGGGGAACATCTCACCACCATTCTCAGGAAGCAACAGAAAGCAGTGGCGGCTAATTCTGAGAAATCACAGATGAATGCCGTCAAATTCTGGTGTGGCTCAGTGGCGAAATATGTTCTGACCCATACCAGTGTGTCAAAATGGGCTACATCAAAATCATTCAATCCTTGAACTCCCCACATGGATAATTTTGGCAGCTTTGGGGGCTCTCAATTGGTTTTTGAGATACCCACATATCTATACCTCCTCCACATAACCCTTATATGCATCATATGCATACAGCATAAAGGCTGGGATATCGTATATTATGGTATCCCCATCAACTTACCCTCTGGTTATTTAACATAGCCATGGAAAATGGCCCATTTGTAGATGGTTTGCCTATTAAAAATTGTGATTTTCCATGGCTATGTTAAATAACCGGATGGTATCTGGAAAATGATAATAACTCACTAATCAAAACTGATCGGCTGTTTGGGGATAGGTAGCCCTGAAAAAAAAAAACATCATTCCAGTGAGGTCATAGTGAGGTCGTTACAACTTAGCCAGGAATATGATGCTCTAACAATGGATGGTGAAATATGGTGAAATATGGTGAATATATGGAAAATGAACTAAATCTCTGGTGCCCAGAGTTTGGAACATGTGCATCCATCCCCATCATGATAATGCAGAAAACCATCTCCTATTGAGTCCTATTGAAACCCCACAGAAAATCATCATGCTCTTACAGCTACATCAAATATCATCAAATCGGCAAGGATATTTTCCACCATCGACGACACAAAACCCTTGCATCGATGATTTTCATTGTTTCTATTGATCCCAAGTATTGTTATTTGATCTAAATGCTTATTGATAAATTCCATGGTGAATCGATTCATTTTTGCTGAATCAATGCTCAAATCATCTCAAATCCATTCATGTCATGGTGCAATCATATAAATCCATCATGCAATTCCATTTTATGATTTTGGTTTTTCTTGAATCAGCTGAAAATTTCTATCTCAATGGATTGGTTTAAGGGAAAATTTACAGGAAAACCCCATATTTCATGGGAAAATCTACGGTTTCCTGTAGATTTTCCCTTAAACCAATCCATTGACTATCTTAATATTAACTCCGCATTTCTGAGCTCCGCACGGCCACAGCGCCGACCGCCTCTCCAGGCATCAACAAGGCCTGCTGGAGGCACCGCTTCATTTAGACAATGATATTACATAGGTAGTCGAATATGATATGATATGATATGATATATTTTTAGATAATGATCTGGTGGTATATATAAAATCATAGCCTCAATATGTCTTAATGATATTCTTATAGTCTCAATGATAATTCTGATATATGTTTTGATTGATATTTCTAATGACAATTTCAATGATATATATTTTTTGATAGTCTTTCTGAAATGATAGATCATGACAGAACTTGTGATGAAAGTTATCCTGACATATCTATTTGATGTTTGTTTTTGTTTGTTTACACATATTTTAAGACCTTGCTACCGATAACATCTCCCCATTCCTCTAACACCGAAACAAAGAAGTTGGCCATTGGCCAAGCATCAATAAGATAGCAAATAATGTCCCAGGTCGTGCCAAGGTCAGCGGTCAGCTTCCGCGGCTTCGACTGGTCCCGGCTTGATCCCCACTCGCCCCACTCCCCCGGCCACCTGGACATATTTCACCGCACAAGTGTTTAAGAATGCATCCAGTTGCTGCAGCGTTGGACAAGGCCTGGAACTTGATAGGACCCATTGGTGGGGATCCTACGGTCCGCACCCAGAAGTCCCAAGGTTTGTTAAAAACTAAAGTCTGAATTTGCGAGGAATCTGTTTCTGCAACACATCTTCAGTGATCCACTTCTGGCCAATTTTGTCCGGTTGTCGCCAGCCCAAGATTTTGTGCAACAATTCCACTGGCAGCCCACCAGCCCGCGTGCACGTGCCATTGTTCCAAGGCGCCCCAAATCCATCAAGGAGAGGGAATCTTCCAGCCTCACAGAGGCCACACGGGTCACACTGCTTTTCAGAACATGTCTGGGCGGCTCATATTTGGCTTTCAAACAATCCAAGCTGCGAGAACTACATTCATCTTTAGCCTCAAGTCTGTGATGTTGCTTTTAGCTTCTCTTCATCTTCAGTTTTAGTTTCGAAGATTTTTCAGAGTCTCCAAATTCCACAAATCCGAAAACAACTCCAGCCTCTTTCCCGCCCCCCTGATGCCTCCATTTGGCACGAGCCTTCTTAGCAGACGCCTACAGCTGGGAGTGCTGTGGCTCCACTACTGAAAGGAGACAGGTGGTTGACCTACCCCTCTGAAAAATGATGGACTTCGTCAGTTGGGATGATGACATTCCCAACATATGGAAAAATAAAAAATCTTCCAAACCACCAAAAATCTTAGTCCCTCTGAAACATGTTCGTCTTAAGTTGGAGGTCACCACACAATCATCCCGACAAAGAACTGAGGAAACTAATCCTGCGAAACACATCAAGCATAGCCAAGCAGGTGGATAATGCAACATAGCCATATTGGCCCAAACAGAGCCTGAAAGCTTGAACCAGTCTCCACGGCTGCCCTGCCTAAGGGCCTAACCTTCAACCGATATAGAGGGAACACGAGGGAACAAGAGGGAACCACTAACCACGAAAAGGTAGCCCTCCAACAAATCAGGCCTTATCATACTACCAGGTTACCAGACTGATCTAAAAAAAACTGGGGCCCATGGCTGCCATGGCCCATAACCATCCATAACCAGCGATCCATCCAAGCTCCTCAGTGTCACCCACTTCCAAACTCAAGATCTGCCGTTTTTCGGCCACCTGCACAGGTCGCAGACCGCCATGGTTTTTTGAAAACATCCACCAGACGGCCACCAAACCATCCCATTTTTGGATACCTTTGGTGGGTTATAATATGTTATAACCCACTCATCCGCTACACTCTATCAATTAATCAGCTTCAACACAGAATCCACCGAAGATTCTGCCATAGAGTCTGCCGCAACCTTTGGCAGAACGTGTTTCGAGGCCAGGTTTGTGCACAATTTATGATCGTTGATTCAGAATGGCCATGAACAAATGGGGGGCACTTCATGTTTTACCCCACCGATGCCACCAAAAAATCTCAAATGGTCCGCTGAAAGCACTGGTTTGGACTGGATTTGTTCTCTTAGGGGGACCTCTTATGGCTATCATTAGAAGGAAAGGATTGATTTTCACTCACCAACCAGAAACTAGTGGGATTCATTGGGAAAATCCCCGAAGGGGCCATGGCCTGCTGTGCCAAGCTCTGGATGAAGTTGCGCACGTCGCTCTTCACGTGCCTTGGATCAGCTGGATGTAATCTATCCAGTGGATCTCCTGGGTTGATTTTTTTCTTCAGCTAGGACAGACTCAAACCGAACAAAGAACAAGACATAAAAACATCAAACAACTCAACTGCTTGGTGGTTTCAATCCTGAAACATACTATATACATCTACATACAGTAGCCATGTTGGATCATATTGTATGACACTAGTTCCAAGTGGCCACAATACCAAGAGTTGTGCAGTTTGAATAGTGTTTAAATCATGTTGAATCCCCTTTTCATACAAGCTGCTTCAGCCAAACAGATCATCATCGGTTACATAGCCGTTACCCTCTGGTAAACTAACAGTTTGCTATTGAAACATGCCATAGAAATAGTTGATTTTCCCATTAAAAATGGTGATTTTCCCATTAAAAATTGTGATTTTCCCATAAAAAATGGTGATTTTCCCATAAAAAATGGTGATTTCCCATTAAAAATGGGGATTTCCCATTAAAAATTGTGATTTTCCCATTAAAAATGGTGATTTCCCATTAAAAATTGTGATTTTCCCATAAAAAATGGTGATTTTCCCATTAAAAATGGTGATTTCCCATTAAATGACCAGAGGGTATGGCTGCCATGTTAGATGCTAGTTTCGCATCACCGGTGAATCATCGCTACTCCAAGTGGCTCAAGTTCCAGATCTGTGGCGCCCTGAGTCCTGGTCACAAATTCCTGGCGGAATGCTGGGAAAAATCATGGAATTCTTTGAATGATGATGGGAAAATATGGGAAAATGGGAAAATATGGGAAAATATGGGAAAATATGGAAACTGGTTGGTGGTTCTAACCATCTTGAAAAATATGAAAGTCAATGGGAAGGATTATCCCATATATTCTGGAAAATAAAACATGTTCCAAACCACCAACCAGGAAAAAAATCCGGAAGTATGATAAAAATCCGGAAGACTATTTTAAGGAGGATTCATTTTTTTTATTTTGAAGCTGGATGATGCATGATGATGTGATATGGAATGATGGTCCAATTATGGTTTTCTGATTTTGCAACATGAGGATGTTTTCTATAAAAAAAACCTCGATGATGTTGTACGATTCAGGGTCACCTTTTGAAGCGGGGCTGAATCTGCATGGAACAAGACCTGGTCTGTTTCCTATGTCAAGAAAAATCAACCGATCATAAATTATACAGTATAAACAAATACAATCAAGTAAAGGTGACTTGTCATCCTACCGAAAAAAACGTGCTAAAAATTCCCGAATCATAATCTATCTTTCTTTCTGGTACCTAGGTGCCAGGTTCCGGTTTCTGCTTGATCCCATCGTACGTCTGATTGTCTAGGCGGACAACGGTTGCACCCCAACCCCCACCCCCCACCACCAACAAAAAATCGTGCTATCTAATTACTGTAGAGAATCAAAGTCATGAGGGAGAAACAACGTGTTTACATTTAAGACCCCAATTCGTGCTCTCAGAAAGCTATTTCCTTGAACATTGAATGCCTGGCAGATAGATCAGATAGTGAGACACCTGTGGTTTCTTTTGAATATGTGTACAGCATCGTGAGAAAATCTAGGCCCCAACCATTCAGAAGTACATGTGCCCCGTGTGGTTTCCAAAACAAAGTATATGAACTATTCAAGGGCGTTCCATATTCTAAATTCTAAGCCATGTCGCCATTTCCACATACTAAGTCTTTCGTTGACTGATATAAATTGCATGATTCATTTTCCAGCCTGACCCTACTTTGGGAGGTTGAGCGCAATGTCCTCCCCACATCCCAGCATATCCAACACAAGCAAGCGTCAGAGCAAAAAAAAATTGCCAAGAATTAATAATTAATTGTTAATTACCGAAAGAACCTCCCCCAAAAAAGGCTGGAGCTAAGAATTATTTCATGTTAAACAATTTTGGTTCCCTCGGTCTTTAATGTCGCAGGGGCGCACCACGAAGCGTTCCGCACAGGGTCGAGCCAACTGGTTGAGCTCATGGGGAAGGAGAGGCCACAACTTGTACCTGGGGCCGGGGATGAATTTCTGGTTGCTGGTTTCAACGCCAGTTTCAACGGCAGAGCCAAACCCTCAAAAATATGATCATATAATAGATTCATATAGTCATTGGGGATGATTATCCCATATGGCTAAGAATTAAACATACATGTTTGAAACCAGCAACCAGATCGAACAGTTAGGCCATAAACCCGTCAATTCATGGAGAAATGAAAACTTGCACGAAACAAACATGCCCAGGAGATTCCAGGAGAAAGGACGATAAACTAGTTTATAATTTGATACGAGTATGTCACTGTAAAGCAACCACGGGGCTTCAACCCCCAAAAATGGATATGTACAAGTTGGGCCCTTTTGGGGGCAGCCCGGGCGCAACGCTCACAACTTGCATTTTTACCGCCGTTTCCAACGTTTTTTCGCTTTGCTGGGGTTCGTGCCAAGCCATGTTCCCCACATTGGGCCTGTCTTGGGCCCAACTTCGGCGCCAAATGCCCCACACGGCAGGAGACTCACATACACCCGACAGAATCGCATCACTTACACCACCCGCATCACTAACACCACCAGGCATCACTTACAACCAACAAATTCGCATCACTTACACCACCACTCCTGTTTTAGGGTTTGCTTCACACAGGAAGCCCCTTTAGGGTTTCTTTGCTTCACACAGGAAGTACACTGGTACAACCCCTTTAGGGTTTCTTTGCCGGAAGTGCACTTCACAATGTGCGCACTGAGCATAAAAGTGGTTTGTCAAGTTTGTTTGACAAAAGGTTTGAAACAAACCTAAGCAAAGTTGGTACTGGGAACAAATAGATCCCAACTAAACCGCTTGCTTACGCGTACGCAACGCTACACCAAACACGGGCATACACACAGAGCGCAAGCCCGCGAGAAAGGTGGCAGGCAAAGAAGTGGAGGGCCAAACGAAGTAACAGAAGGACAGCAGAGCAAAACAGAGAAGGAGCAAGACACAGCAGGAATTTTATAAGCAGCAAGGGCTGCTTTGTCAACCTAATTGTAAAACCTTATGAATCTTCATTTCAGAACAGGCATGTTTCGGTTATTGATGTCAATGATGTTGATGATGAAGGAAAAACGTGAAAGTGATGATGATGATGATGGTGATGATGATGATGATGGTGATGATGATGATGATGATGACGATTCGATGACGGTGGTGATGATGATGATGATGATGATGATGATGATGATGAACAAGGAAGAGACGTGAAAGTGATTGTGATTATATTGATGATGATGCTGCTGCTGCTGGTGATGATGATGATGATGATGATGATGATGATGATGATGATGATGACATATGATGACCATGATTCCATGATGGCAATGTAAGCGATGCAAATCGCGCGTTTGGAAGCGATGCAAATTTGGCGGTTGCAAGCGACACCGCGACGACCACACCACCACAGAACCACGTTGCGCATGTTACAGTAAGCCCAACTTGCGTCCAAACGTGCCCAAGTTGCGCCATGTTCAACCCCAGTTGGGCTCAAGTTGGGCCCAAGTTGGTGCCATCTGCCCCGAGTTCGGCGCAAGTCAAGTTTTGACCCCAGTCGGCTTTGGTTGGGCCAAGTAGGCCCGCTTCTTCCCTCTGTCCTATTCCCTGGGTGGGGGCGGGACTCGTTGCGAAGCGACTCGAATCCTTTTCGCATACAAAAACGGAAAATAGACACTTGTCACAAAACACCCAGCACCTGTGGACAATCTATCCAAGCACTACTCTACTTGTGGGCATATTCATGGCATCTCTTAACATCCGGACATGCAACAGGATGAAGGGCTCTGGGCAGTAAAGTTGGAAGACCAACCAACAAATGGGAGCATCAAGCAGCAGCAATTGGTGATACTAACCCAATCATCTGCCGATGGTGCTGCAGGGGCACTGGTCACTCTGCGCTTGCTGAACACTCCTGCGAGAGAGTTGGAACGTGTCACTTTGATGAATCTTGGAAGAAAATGGACGGATAGCATCACTCTTTGGATCGACTGATTCACAAACCCATGGGTTGTTGCCCGCAAAAGAAAGGGGGTTCCTGCCGTCGTTCTTTAAAGCCAATTCAAATGATCCGCGTATAATTGTATACAGTATACAGACTGCTAATCCGGTTTGACCAATCCATGGGCTGTCCTGCGTTCTAAAGGCCATATTAATATAGTATACCCTCTGGTTATTTAACATAGCCATGGAAAATGGCCCATTTATAGATGGTTTACCTATTAAAAATAGTGATTTCCCATGGCTATGTTAAATAACCAGAGGGTATATTAGACGTGTCTGGCTTCGTGGCACTTTCAAAATGACCAGCCAGGTTTCATTCATCAGGAATGCCACAAGCTTTGGACGGCCAAGAAAATCATGTGGACGCAACCGCAAGCAGCCCTGAATCCTCTTGACATTTAAGTAATGATTGGTGGAATCTATAGGGACCACTAATGGTGAGACTCCCATTCCCATACTACTCCCATGAAAAACCCCAATGGTATGGGAAGATTGTGGGAATGGGGGTCTCATTATTGCGGGTCCATATGGGCATTTCCTGAAATGGGGGTACCCCTAAATCATCCATTTTAAGGATTTTCCATTATTTTTGGGGTATCACCATTTCTGGAAACTCCCATATAAATTCTATGGAATGGATGGCACCACCAACAAGCCATCTATCATCGATGAATGGCTCTGTTTGCAGGATTGGCAGCCAAATATGGCTTTCACTGAACATGGTTAGTACTGTACCGCATATACCTCCAAACTGGCTTTTCAACGGGAAATAGGATGATATTGTGATGATATATGATGATAGACAATGGGTTTTGGGATTGCCCATGTTCAAACAAAACACATATCATTGTCATGATACGGATACATCGTGGCGACTATCTCTCATAACTTTCATCTCAATCCCGTGAATGCTTTTCACCATGAATGTGAAGAGATAGTAATATGGTAAGAAATTGTGGTACTAATGTATGATGTGTATATACTTAGAAGATTATTATTGTTTCTTACCCAATGCACGGTCACTGCTATCATAAGTTATCACTCTCAATACTACTACTGTTATCATGATTACTGTCATTGTCTTGCATTAGCATTACATATCGGTTTGTCTCAAAAAAAGATAAACAAGGATACTGCAAAATTGGATTTAAGAGTTGTTCCCCTAAAGTTTCAGATAAAGCCTCATCTCTGCAGAGAAAAATTGCCCGGGGCTCCTCTGAATTGGCTCTGCCACACGCCCCTTTTGCTCCATGGCAGGTAGATCTCCAGGAGCTTTCGCCACCTTGGAATCTGGCGAGCCAAAAATGGGATCATAACATATTACAACCAAAAGCATGAACTTGACCTGCGAAAACCAGGTTTTTTGATTAACATTCGATGTCAAACAAGAAGATATTGGATGTTGACTGATGTTGACTGGCAATTAATGGTTGAAGTATGCTGAAGCAGAAATCTATATAATTAAGAAAGCACGGATCCTTCAATGAGGCATGTCCCTAGAGGTTTCATAATCAAATTTCATTGGAGATTATGAGGTCCTGTTCACAAGCTGTCGGGGCCCATCGTTGATCCTGCGCTGATAGGTGGATGGGTGATGATATCTACGTGGAATACTACTAGCTCCATTCCAGGGCAACCTAACGCAAACGCAAAGTAGAATCTCGGGTATATTCAAACAATGTAGACAAGCATGATGTAGATTTGATTGCTGTACTAATACTGATACTGATGTAGTTACTGTAGTAATATAGCTCAAGGATATATGGACATTCCATACAGCCTGCTACCCATTTTATGATGAGCCCATGCTACTTCCTGATATCAATAAACATTCATAATCCTAATCAACTCAAGACTTCCCCCAGTTGTTATGGCTAGGTCTCAGTACACGCTTAAAAACAACCGCACCAGCATAAAAACCAGCATATCTGACCCAAATCATTATTGGAACTGGGCATGTCCAATCATTACCCCAGTGTAATGTCAACCCCGGATTAATAAACCATGGTTTATTAATTAGAAAATAACCCTCCAAGTAGTCACAATATGGTACATAAATGGTACCCCATAAATGGTACCCCATAAATGGTACCCTCCCAATTAAACAGCCGTTTGGGGTTTATTAATCCAGGGTTGACCATTGGAACCCTCTGGGTCGATCGGTATAAACCCTCCCTCGCCCACCTGCACTTTCTTGCTGCGACGTGCTCGATGCGGAGGCCGCAAAACGTGCACCACCTCGGAGAAGATCTAAGTCTATGGGGGTGTCCTAAGTCATGGGGGTACCCCAATGGTTTAGGATGGTTTATGATGGTTTATTTCATGGAAAATCCTATTAAAGTGGATGCTTGACATCACTCCATTACAGTAATTACTTTAGAAAGTGGGAATGTAGGCACTCCAAGTAGACATAAGTAGACCATGTACAGCATGTGGATAGATTAGCATTGGGTGGGAGATGGATTGTGGGTGCACTTACACTTCTCTTCTTGGTCAGCCTACCAGGGACAGAAAGAGGTGAAACCTTGGATCAAGTAGATCAACTCATGAACCTGAAAAGTTCGGCCAGTTTGGACCCCATCTGTAAACCATTTTGTAAACCATCATTCCAGTGATGTCGCGAAATGAGGTCGTGAAATAAGTCCCAATAATGATCTGTTCGCCAGGTCGGCTAGCGCTGAGTTTGGGGCATAGTTCAGCACGTACCTGGAGGTGCAGTGATGAACAGAGTGGTAAATCACCATGTTTCACATACCCTCCGGTAAACATTTACATAGCTATGGAAAATCACTATTTTTCATTGGATAATTGGTAAATCCACTATATAAATGGCCATTTTCAATAGCAAACTGTAACTGTTTGTTTACCAGAGGGTATCTCCAACGTTCTCCATCCTACCCAATCAACAAAATTCACCGAGATGGAGCACTCAAAGTCCAAGGGTTTGGAAGCCGAGCCCTCCATCTTCGCAGGATTCAAGCCATCCTGGATGAAAGATCCGATCTTTGAGCTACGGGTTTGTTGATTTGCAAGAAAGACATAGAAAGATTACCCTCTGGTAATGACTAACATAGCTATTGAAAATCACCATTTTTAATGGGAAAATCCATGAAAATCCACTATTAATGGTCATTTTCAATAGCTACGTTAAATTACCAGAGGGTAATTCCAAAAAAAGCAAAGACCGAAGATCACCGAAGAGTTGAACCAATGCTCCAAATCATTGAGATTCCACGCTTAAAAAAACAGGGAAACTGCAAACATCGCGGTGCAAACGAACAGTTAGATGACTATCCTCCTGGCATTTTATTGGCGACCCCAGGTCCAACTCAGCTCAGTGGCATCACCAAAGGCGAATTGCACCACATCGCCTCGACGGCGCGAAGCCGACGGCGATGCAACGGAAACGCTTCATATGTTCTGTCATGTTTTGTTCTACATGTTTGTCATTTTTCGCCTCCGAAAGCCTCCCAACCTAGTGAGGTAACAGCCAAAATAGGAAGGAAAACAACTGACCATAGCATGGCCTGGAGATTTTTTGAGTCGGATCTGGAGAGAAGCAGCTGACCATAGCATGGCCTATCTTCAAGAGTGGCCAAGGCACTATTTGACGTACGAACGGTCATGTCCTTGGGATGCCGGAAGTTAAAATACTCAAACCACGGATGCCAAGATATACCAAGCCCCAAATCATCGCACAATTCAACCGGCCAAACAAAGCTTCCGAAGCATCTGTGAATGTGTGCAAACCAGCCCCAGCAGGCATTTTGAAGGTGATATCCTGGTTTTCACATCAGCTAGATTGGCTGGATGTCAGTTCCCCAAATATGTTCAAATATATATATATTCTAGATTGCTCTAGGGTTTGACCCATCCCCATGTCATTTCTAGTTCTGCTTGTGCAAATCTCCAGGTTTCAGCAAAGTCTCTTTTGACCCATCCCTGTACAATGTAATATAAAATTACATGAATCAACATCTTGGGAAAAGATACATTATGAACTCCCCAAGTAGAAAGTCTGTACATATATATATATATATATGTATGTATGTATGTATGTATGGATGCATGCATGCATGCATGCATGCATGCATGCATGCATGGATGGATGGATGGATGGATGTATGTATGTATGTATGCATGCATGCATGCATGCATGCATGCATGCATGCATGGATGTATGTATGTATGTATGTATGTATGCATGCATGCATGCATGCATGTATGTATGTATGTATAATATATATATATATATATATGTGTATAATATATATATATATGTATTAATTATTAAACCAACATTATATACTGTATAATGCCGTATACTTATATAACCATATTATGTATAATGCTGTATACAAATATTTCATATATTGTATAATGATATATTATCATTATATACGGTACACTCTATAATGCTGTATAATGCTGTAAAATGATATATTATAATATTCTACATACATGTCATGTTGTATACAGAAAGCACGCATTTCATAATGTCCAGGTGTCGTACTTCAAGGACAAGTCTTCCAGGGCCTTCATCAGGCGTCGTTGCATGTAGCCTGTCTCCGCCGTCTTCACGGCGGTGTCTACCAGACCTTCGCGTCCTGGGATGGGGGATGGGATGAGACCCCAAAACGAAGAGCAAAAAAAACAAGGGAAAACAAGGGAAGCATATGATTGATAAAGCAAAGGATTTACGGATATATATATATACATATATATATATATATACATATATATATACGGATATCCTATTTTCAGACAAACCTAAGTCAATTGTGGCACCAAAGTGAGGGATTTTTTAATGATTCGATGTGATTTCACTTCATCAAACTTGTGGATTCGAGAAGGATTTAACACGATTTTACTAAAAATTAACATGGTGGATTCGAACATCATGGGAATGAGATGGAATGAGCATTGGACTAGAGATTTTAACATCAAAACATATCAAAACACAAGGAACCAACGAGAATGACATTCAGAGGCTTCAGAGGCTTGATTGAAGGGAGAATAGGACACCATAGTTTTCCTAGATATTCAAAACAATAATAGGCTAGGGGAAGTCCTTCAGATTGTCCCTTTACCAAATTCTGTGATTTAGGCCAAATAGCCAATTGATCCCAGTTGTGCGGGACATATTTACCAACATACTAGTATTGCGTATGCAACCCATGACTGTGATTTGGCATTTAAAGCCAGTTGTAAACAAATACGGCAGGTGGAACTGTACCATTTTCTGCATAGTAAAAACATCTAAAATGGGACATGTCCGGGTTGGATTGCTGGAATGTACTCAGCTAGTGGCGGTCTTGGCAAGGTCATTTGATTTACAATGTCAACCAATGAGACGCCTTGAGTATGAAACCATGTACCATTCATAATGTAGGGCTACAGTATGGTACAGTAGCTACACACAACCTTTGTGAACTAGCCTCTGGCAATTGAACATTAAACATGGCTATCGAACATGGCCCATTTCCAGGGTGAATCATCCCATGGCAGCCATGGCCCATTTTACGGCACCGTTGGAAGTGCCAAGTGCCAGGTCCTCCCATGGTGTGGAAAAAGAACTCCGGGGGCTCCAAGCCACCTTGGCAGCTGATGGGCATCCCTGGTGGGCTTGGTGGACAGGGAAGAATGGTGGGCTTGGTGTAGGAATTCCGCTGACAATGTACAAGCAACATGTAAGATCCCATGTCAAGTCTGACCTGCTGATGGCTTTTCCGCTTAACAAATAAAAATAGGCTTCCAGCGAAGTGTCATGCCCTGATGGGTGGAATTCGGATTGTTGGAAGTGTGATTTCGCATCCCAAAACTCTGAACTGCACTTGTCAAGATGTGTGACCATGCCAGAAGAGCCATGTCTTCTCCTGGAACCATGTCTCTTTGCTCACACATGGAGGTTTCCTAAAATAGGGGTACCCCTAAAATCATCCATTTTAGATTGGGATTTTCCATTTTCAAGAAACCATCACCATTGGGGTAGCCCCAGGATACTATGGATACTATGGAAAGCCCGACATCTGGATGTGGGTCAAAATGGAAGACCTAGGGACCACAGATCTTAGTCTAGTTTAGTACTAACCATCCAATTATTGGGGTACCTAATTTTGACCCATACCCATCTTGCGTGCCAAGAGACTGTAGAAGGAGTTGGCCACAAATCCTCGGGCCTTCGGTTCCCGACTGCCCTTGGCGAAGTGCGGCAGCGTCCGATTCACGAAGCCGTCCTTGATGCGTTGCCCACCCACGTTTTGCCTGGGAGTTGCCACTTGGGTCAAGTGATGCCACATGGATACACCTTGATGGCCTTGATGTATAGTCTGTATAATAATAACTTGTCAATGAACAAGCTCTGGATTTAATTAAGATATTTAAATGTGCTAAGAGAGGTGAAACAAAATCACAGGACCTGGTTGCAGGACTTTATGTCCGTGACTTTTCACAGGGTATCAGGTCTCTCTTAGACCTGAAATGACCCCAAATCCATCCCAAAAAGGAGCGTCAAAGACCCAAACCTTGCCCCGTTGCTGCTTATTGCGGCTATGGCACCCATATTTTGGCCACTCACCCACATCACAGATCATGACCCAGGATCCATGTATGGTATATAGTATGGTATATAGTATATACCATACATGGATCCTGGGTCATGACCTATATGGTTATATATGCTAACATTTGGGGTATATTGATGGTAAACGTATGTAAATGTTACCATATATAGCAGCACCATGGATCCGTCATGGGTGATCACTCCGAGCAACTGGCCCACGCAGGCCATCATCTGACACAAGTTGATGGGACTGCCCTTCGAGCCGCAGGTGGCCATGATCCTGGGTTTGTTGTAGAAGGCCAACTTCTCTTCGCACATGCCTGAAGCGAACGGATTTCCAGCAACACCGGGCTTCCTGCGCCATGTTTTTTTGAACATGTAACATGGGGGGATTCCTGCAGATTTTTCCTTGAACCAAGTAACATGGAAGTTTGCAACACTTCGTTGTGCGGGACGCAGGTGTTGTACAACAGTAGTTAAACTATGGCCACGTATGATTGGTGGAGCGTGAGAGATGGATATCGGGATGGATATCGATCGGATACTCCTCACGACTCAACAAGTATTTCTTGACGATCATTCAGTTGGCAACTGGGATGCACATGCAAGTACACCATAGAGCTCACATTCATGGATACCCCAACTGGGTAGAAGTTGGTGGCATAACATCCGTGAAGTTCCAGTTACACCCAGTGAGAAACTGGAAGAGGCCAAGATATTTGACATAAACATTAATAAACCTGACTTCAAATGAAAGACACTAACATTCCACAACAATTTCCCCATGTTGGATCACAGGATCACAGTACATCCTGGTCCCCTGGGGCTGCTGGGGCCCCCTTTCGGCCCCTGGTTGACATGGCGCTTCCCACCATGTCTCGAATCCTTCCAAGCTCTCCATTGACCAACGCTTCCAAGGTCTGCTCTGCATTGCAGCCAGGTTTGTTCTCCAGTGTCCCGCTGTTGTACTGTCCTGCAAGCGGCGTAGGAACAAACGCCGTCTGGTTATGGTTCTCCGTTGGATTCCTCGTAACATCTGGCATACACATGTCATAATCTACTTAAACTATGCGAAGACGATAGTCAAAATATGTCAAAATCAAGCCCTCTGATGGGTGTGCAAGATCTATTTCCTCGTGGATCCCATATTGCAAGCTCCAACCGAGCCGAATGACCAAAAAACAACTCATGCCTCAGTCCTCAAAATTCACAGATTGGTCCTCTAGGGAAAACCCACCATATCCATCCGCCAATTTTTTTTTTGATCTTTGGGATGCAGAATGCGTTGATCAACTCTCTAACAGGGCTCAAACATGCTCAAACTGTTTGGCCGTACAAAATTTGTTTCTTGGAAACAGACACATTCTGATGCTTCAGACCAAACCATACTAGTCCAAACCCAGCTTCCGATGTATCGTGCGACAGCTCCATACTTCTCTTCGGTGATTCGTTGTTTCTCCACAGACACTCGACCAGCCCCCTGGCCATACTCGGAATTCACCTGAGCAACGTCTCGACCCTGGACGCGGCCGGTTTCTAAACATTGAGGACCCACACACTCCACACAATCCACTGCTTCAATCTGTTGATTCATGGCATGGTCTATTGAGGGCCTCTTTGGATCCTCAGACACCACTTGAAAGTGATCGGACCCAGGGCTCTGAGCGAGCCATCCAAAGCACATCGTCTATGAAATAAAATCCCAAAAAATGCTGTCTAAATGGACACGTCATTTACAAATGGTGAGATTTTCCAACAAGCCGCGACCGGAGGGTACCGCGTTTGAATCATCCTCTTGCTTTCGCCCCCCAAAAAACAAGCCATCTCCGAGTCACATCGTCAATTCCAATGGTGAATCCGCGGTTCATCAACCATCGACTCGTTAGCTTGGCGATGCGACTCATGCAGTCGATGGCAGATTGTGCACCGCAATCGCGGATGAGTCCTGAGTAATTACGCATCCTGGACAATGGACAATTCACCGGGGGAAATTTTATACTGTGAGAAAAACGGCTCATAGAATGGCATACCAAGAATAATATTAGTTATAACAGAGAAAGTTAGAAATAGACCATATGAACCAATGAACATTGGGGATTGATTACTATTTTCAAACAAACCGATTCAGAGGATGTTATTATATATATAATTTATATATAATATGTTTTTTATGTGATTTTATATGTTTTTTGTGTTTGAAGGTAAAAACATGTAATTTTTCCCCTCCAATCAGTCAGGCTCACATGTGCGAAATGGCAGCAAATGGAAGATGTTTGCAGTGGGAGAGTCATAATAGAACCGGAGTTGTGATGTGACAGTGTCTCCGATTATAGCCCACCATGATGTTGAGAGCAAATTGGTTTGAGTCCCGGGAACACCCTGCTGCTGCTACGGCTATGGCTGCATCCCTCTCATCAAAATCATGAGCTGGGTTTCTGGAAGGATTTATTAATGGGGATTTTGGAGATGGTCAACCCCGACCTTTGAGCGATGGATTCGTTGAACTTTCGTCTTCGGGGTTTCATTTCCGACAGCAACACAACATGAATTGATAGTCCCCCACACAGTCTGACCTGTGGCGGTCCACGGGTTCCTACAAGACCTACAAGATCCTACAAGTGGGTTCAAGTGGGTACAACCATGACATGACTCATGACTCCTCCATACCATTCCATACCCCTCTTGGGATGTCTTCGGCACGTCCATCTCACCAAGGCTCTGAAAAACAAACCGTTCTTGGCTCCTCCCAAGACTTTCTTGCCCAAATTGCCGCTGAGAAGTTCCGAGTTGCGAAATAAAACCCAACCATCGTTGGGGCACATACTCACACCCTTTTTGGAGTAGTTCTTTTCAGGGACTTCCAGATTCACATAGATTTTCGAGCCTTGGTTGTGGCCGCGTCCAAGTCATTGTCCTAGCTGATTGTCCTAGCAGGTCCGAGTCGATGTCCCATTGGCCTTGAGACAGTTTACTACCATGTTTCACGGGTAATAATTGGTAAATATTATATGTACTGTAATAATGAATCAATTACGGGAATCCCAACATCAACCAGGTAACCAACCACTAGAACCACTCCATGACATTCTGAACTGCTCTCACACACAAAAACCGCCAGACCTAGCCCAAAAAAAAATCTGAAATCCTTTGCCGAGAGGCGACGATTGGGTCGCAGCATGACGCTAATGGCTTGTTTCCCCGTCCACAACTCACAGGGCTTCAGTATTGCCGGGGGCGGCAAATCGATCGTTTCCAAGCCATCCTTAGTATTTTTTTCCCACGCGGGGGCGGGAAACAACGGGAGAAAACAACCAAGACTTCAGGGTGGAAACCTCAAACTCACCCATATGGATGGATAATAATATATACCGTAATACCATTATTTACCCATTTGGGTAATCTTGTGTCTCAAGTGAAGGACAATATCGGACGGCATTCATTTGCCAGTAAAACCCGGCCACGCCAGAACAATATTCAGTGGCCATAGGAATGAATGAAGGGCCTATGTATAGGAAATTTTTGTTAATGCCACAACTGTTTCATTTAATACATTGCATGGTTGAATGAATGCATGACCGAATGAATCAATAGATGACTCAATGACAGTTTTCTTGCGCAGAAACATAGAGCCTCCCTTGGCCGTTTGAGCCACAAATCCTGCAAAAACACAGTGTTGCCCGCACTTTTCTCCCCCAAACTCACACGCACATGTGCATTTGTTCACATACTTGCTGATTCTTACCTCATGTGTAAGAATCCCAACTAGTGATGTTTCCTGCGTGGCGGAGTCAGTGATCTACGAACCACCCCTGACCATTTCTCACTAACTTGGAATTTTCCAATTAAATTTACTTTGATGGTATATGCAGATTGTTTTTTCAAGTTTTTTTGCTTGTGGGTGGTGTTTTTCAGGGTTCTAAGTTTGCTTCTTTGTCGAGGTTTCAGGTTGAACGGACCATGTAGTTTCCAGGCGTTTCTTGTTGCATCCGAATTTGGGCTACCCAAGTTTGACTTTGTGACCCATGTGTATGCCAGGCTAGACAACTATTTCTATCTTGCGGATAACTGTCGTCATCTCATATTTCTACTACAGTACCTAGTATAGTTCAAAACATTTCAAAACGCTTCTCATTATCAAAGGAAGTTTAATTAGAAAAAATCCGCTTAGCGTTCACACCATCATGTCAACCACATCATCATGTCAACCACCAAGTAGTTGGGAAGTGCAGCAGTTCGGAACCGTGTGACTTCACAGGTGGCAGCGCTCTCGGGCGGGAAACCCTGTGTTTTTACGGGTAATGTGGCTCCTGGGGTCGCCAAAATTTCCGTGGGTCCGCGGCTCGATCTAGGAAAGTTGTCGACAAAATGTGCACAGGACTGTGGCGAGAGCTCGATTTGCACTTCAAAACGTTGAAAAATTGTCACGTGTGGAACACTATTGGACGATGAAGTCGGCAAAAAGTGCACGAGACTGTAGCGAGAGCTCGGCTTCACAAAAAAAAACACAAAAATCTGGCACGTTCGGAGAAGCGTGGAACCGTCCCCATTGTCAGCGCTGCGCGAACGTTGGTCGATGTGGTGCGACGCTCCTGCTTTGCGGGTGTGCAACAGGCTGTGACCAAACCCAGTGGCACGGCTGCGCGCAGCAAAGCTTTCAGTGATGCCGCGCTGCGATGCTCCTGGCAAGCGGGATTGCAGCTGGAGGTTGCTCAACGCATTGTAACAGCTGCGCGAAAGGAAGTTCTTGGCCATAGTGCCACTCTTGTGCTATGCCATGCGGGCTTGCAGCTGCAGGTCGCGAAATGCATTTTAACAGCTGCACGAAGAGAAGAATTGGGTTGCAGAAGTTGGAGAAGAGCCAGCTGGGAGGCAGCTCAGAGCAGGGTCCGAGAAGAAGTAGCCCAGATAAGAGGCTGCTCAGAGAAGTTGCTGAGACAAGAGGGACCTCGGCGAAGAGGTTGCTCAATGAAGAAGTACCTCCGCAAAGAAGTAACTCACTCATCCATCCATTCATTGGTTCAGCCAGCGATTCATTGGCTCATCAACTCACTATATAATTTGTTGGTTGATTCACTGATTCACTGACTCATCGGCTCACTATTGATTGACTGATTCATTGACTCACTGTTTCATTGACTCATTGATTCATCAACTCACTACTTCACTCATTCATTGTTTAGTTGGTTCATTGAATCACTGATTCATTGCGCCATCGACTCACAAATTCATTCACTAGTTGATCCACTGATTGGTGCCTCATCCACTCGGTCATTCATTCACTGATTCACTGCTTCATTGATTCGCGAAATCTTCAATTCGCTGATTCATTGCTTCACTGACTCATTGATTCATTGAATCATCGATTCATTGGTTCGCTTTTTCTTTCCTTCATTGATTTACTGAATCATCGATTCATTGATTAGTGCATTGAATTGATTCACACAGAATCATTGATTCACACAGAATCATTGATTCACACAATCATTGATTCATTGATTCATTGGTTGAATTCGGTCAGTTTTGCATGGATTCTTTCATGTCACGTCATTTGCGTCTCAACCACCATTTGCTCATTCGTTGATGCGCCTCACAACTTCAACAATTCGTTGCTGCTGCATCGTAAAAACTTTCCTATAGGCCATTGATTTCTTATAGCCATGAAGTTTTTTCGAAAGTTGCCCCCAGCATGGGCCGGGCACCATCTGGTAGTTACTTTATGTTAGTATCGTTTCTACTATAGCTATCCCCATTTGTGTAAAACTATGGATAACATATTTCATGTAGAGGGAAAAAGTGGAAACCCCCATCAGTCGGCAACCAAGGAACTGAGAGGAAGCAGCAAAGCCTCAGCGAAACGTGCCGAGGTAGCTCATCATGGGAAGTGTGAGCCGGGAAGGACTCATATCCATCTGTGACCTATGAGAGCTACAAAACTGGTGGTTTCAGAGGAGCTTGACGCATATTAGTGATGGAATCATCATCATCCCAAAAATCATGGACAATAAAACTACTTCAAACCACCCAACCAGATGATTACAAGCGCATACAAGGACAGCCAATGTATATACGTATACCCATTCCATCGAAAGTACCAGCTAACTATTGTTGGGATTTAACGTCAACAACTGGATGTCTGAAATAATTTGACTCATGACTCATGGAGATATAGCGTGCCTATGTATGAAGCAAATAGCACGAAAACAATTAACTAGTCCTGGGATTTTGTCTTAAGTTTATCAATTATAATCAATTATATGAGCACTAGCGTCCACCTTGGATTAATAGACCTTGGAAGATAAATTAGTGGACACCAAATAATGATGACTTGATGCCATGATGATAACCCACAACTAAATAGCCCGGTGGTTTGAGGATATTTGGATGTATCCAAAATGGGAAGTCCATGGATGTCACCCCCCCAGCTGCAATCCGTAGCGGGGTACTGACAGAACTTGTCCCGCGAGAGGTAGACATCTCTCTGTGTCAAGAGAAACGCACCAGTGAGGAAGTCCTGCCCCATATGATGATATGTCGATCCCAGTTTCACCATTTCTATGGTTGACTTTGGGAAGGGAAAACCGACGGCTTGGGATAGTGCAAAGTTTCTGGAAGTACAAACATATCTGTAGTACTGTAGATTTCTTTACATTAATACTAAGAGGTGTATGATGGTGTATGCCCATCCCATGATTCGTGATCTATTTGAATATCCCATTCCATTGGGACAGAACATCTTACCACGTCAATCCACATCATTCTCCAATCCCCAGCTCAAGATTGTAGTTTTTGTGCCCCGTTTGATGAATGAAATGATATCACCAAACTATAACGTGCCAATTTCATGAGATTTTGTATCAACAATCCCAGATTTACTCTGATATCCAGGATTTTATGGGTTTGACTGAAATTACCCCTAAACTTGATGGTTGATCATCAAGAAGTGGCCATAACTGGGACAAAGAAAAACACAAAACATATTTGAACTCAACCAACTAGGATAACTAGGATATACTAGGATTATATGGCCATGAGTCAAAAACCTGATACCCCAGGTACCCCAAAATACATGCTTTGTGGATGTTCATTCCCCCTGTCATATGGGATTTTCATAGCTTTTGACTCACCCAAAGCCCGGGCTCCTGCGTGGCGCAAATGGCCACCTCACCACTCTTGGGCGTCACCAAGCCATCCCGAACTCCCATGAGTTGGTATGCCTGTGCGGCTGGGCAACCCGGGGATGTGGTTTAAGCATGTTTAAGTGATACGTAACTGGGGTACAGTATGGTACAGTAAACTGGGGTAATTTTTCATGTAATTTATTTAGCAGTTTGCGATGGAACATGGAAAGTCCCATTGACCACATTTGGTTCGATGATTTATCTATTATAGTTGAATGGCGATTCTCATGGTTCATATTTTTAAAGGTGCATCCCAGGAATCGTTGGGTTCATGACCTATAAAACTGGGGTAAATTATCCTGTGTAGAACTGAGTTGTTGTATGATTATTGCTGGCCGTTCTTGGATGCGCATGCCGCTTATATTAATATAGTGGTTTAGGCTTATGACCCATCCGTAAGCCATATATGATGAAACTTGGGTGTATTTCAGGGTCCCAGAGGTTCCTGACGAAGCCCCTGCCTCTGCTCTGGCTTCTTCGGTTTGAGGCAAGTGAATATTCATTTCATCTCCTCAAAGGCTCACAACTTGGAAGATGATGTGGAAAAGGCTGCAAGTATTATCTGCAGCATGTGTAAGATCAGAAAACAACCTTTAAACCAAATCTTATTCGCGGTTTCAGCATAACTGGAAAATCTTCTCGTCAACGGGGATCATCGTCCCAGGTAGGATAGAACTTTTGGACCTTTGCTTTCGAATGCCGTTATTAGGCCTCTAAGTTATACAGCGTCTTGCGTTGCAACTGTGAAATGGTGGACCGAGCTTGCCTGCACAAGCTATGGCAGTGAACGCATGATGACGGATGCCACAGTTGTCAAGGGGACAACCAACTTATATAATTAAATACCAAGCACGTGCAAATGCAAACATGCATGATTAACGGTTCACGCTGCTTGGGCAGGGGGTCCAAACTTCGGAGAGTCAATGATATGAGTGGCGGACAAAATTACTTTCTACTCGCAAAGGACATGGCCACAGTGGGTGGTCCTCTATCGGTTGTGAAGGTTTGCACACAGATTTGAACATCCCAAGTTCACTCCCTACTACTTTAGTCTAGCGCTAATTTTGTTGGTTACTCATGTATATATATATATAATGTATTATATATATAATGTATTATATATATATATATATGGACCCCATTTGTATCATTTTTGTTCGGGGTTCGATTCTGAAATCCTACTCGACCGCATGTGCTCAAGTAAAAAGTGTTCGAGTTTCTGGTTTTTATGCACAGCAAGTGAGCGAGGAGACAATTGTCGGGTATGGTGACCAAGTGATCCAAATTCCATCAAATTACCATGAACATGGAAAGATTGATCGGCCCAAAATTACCAAACTAATGTTTTTTCAAGTCGCGGAAATTTGCGCTCGTTTTGCCGTTTTTTGCGCTCGTTTTGTGGGTTGCAATTTGTACGGCTTAGACCAAAAAACAAAAAATGAACGTTTTTGGCCTGAGCCACTTTGGTTGAGTCAAGATTAGCCCAAATAGTTTTGCAGGGGCCATGCACCATGCAAAACTGAAAAAAAACATGCGATTTCTGAAGATTTGTCCGTTTGGCATGTTCTATGAATTTGTGATCGTGTTTCGAAATGTGGAACGAATTGCAACGGACGAGGCTACAGGTATACATACACATGATGATCGTTGAACATTGGACACCCTACTTTAATGATAGGAACACTTTCCAAGGACGCTATCTCGACTGGCTAAAACAAAAAAAACGCAGTTCTAAGATGTTCTAAGGTGTTCCAAGTGAAGGCGTATGCCACACATTGAGGCCGCTACAACTCGCAAGCTGGGGATGGTCTATTCAGCGGCCGCAAGATGGGGAAGGGGTGAGATCAACGTCCCTGGTTTACTCCAGCATCAAATTGCTATGGTATAACAGGCTTCCATTTTAGCCAGTTAAGTTGGGCAAAAAGAACAGTCTCACCCAAGAGATCAAGAAACATTCATCTACTACCCTTGAACGGCAGCAGCAACAAGAACGGCAACCACAACAACTGCTAAAACTCTTGTGGGGAAGAGATAATGTATACACCATGTTCCAAGAAAAGAGCCAGAATGCAATCCATAGACATGAGTATAAAAACTGAACCCACCCCTGTGCAAACAATTCACCTCTGTCATATCGGAATTCAAAGGGGCCCATGACTGATCATGACTGCACATCTTCACACCACCTCTTCCCAGACATAGAAATCCATCGCAATAGATACCCTCTGGTTATTTAACATAGCCATGGTATAGATGGCCCACAGAAATAGATGGCTTACCTATTAATAGCATGGTGATTTTCCATGGCTATGTGAGTCATAACCAGGTGATATCCAGAAAAAAAATCCATGTTTTTTCAAGTCTGTCCCAGAGACCATCGAAATCACTGCGGCCAAATGTCCATCGAAATCAGCATTGTAGGGTGCACAAACGCACTCGTTGAATCGAAAGGTACGACCAGGCATCACTTTGGCCCGGTGTGCCATAATGGATAGTCGATGCAAAGACCTGGTTGAAGGCCCCAATTTTGGGACGATCCTAGAAACCCTCGAGACCTCTTGTATTATGGTGTTATGGCTTTATAAAATGTCTAGGTTATCCATAAATACATATTTTCTTACAGTAGAATGCGGCTCAGTGTGCCGCTTGCTCTTGGCACCATCCCAACGCTTTCTCATCATCTTGGCTCAAACTCGACTGAAGTCACACTTTCCAAGGGGTGGTCCCCAAGCACTATCCATCTTCCATGCCAGGACCACCGCGGTGCCACCTATGGCAAGGTGCGGCTGGCGGTTGAAGAGGACGATATCACCATCACGCATGTGTCGTTCCACCATGTCGCCCGTTTTCAAACTCTCAGCCATCCTGGTGGCGCGAGAGTACTCCAAGATACTCCGAGCCAACCAGCGGGAACCCCAAAATCATCAGATGGTCATAGGTCATTAATAGGGACAATATGGATATGGTGGAATGGGCTATCCCAATTTAATGAGAAACAGCAAAAAACGATGAGAAAGTGAAGTCGTACATTATACCCCTTGCTTGCTCCTAGGGGGGGTCCAACCCCTGAAATAGTAGACCCCACTGGCTGTTTTCCAGACGGGCCTGACCCCCCCATACCCCTTTTGAGCATTTCTGAATGGATAAAATCTAGGGGCCTGAGTCTAGCATTCGTAACCAAACATTTTTGCTAACACTCAACTTGGACAAGGGTACCCATACTTTGGAGCATTTTGGACGCTCAAAAATGATCAAAGGTCAGGCCCCTCAAAATATTTTGGGAATGTTGTGAATATTTAGGACATACATGTTTTATCTGTGAATCTTATGAAACCATGGACCTCCTGGATTTTAGCCATCGTTTTTTCTTCTCCCGCATGCCGCAGATAAGCTGGCCACTTTGAAAGGTTCTCTACAGAGATAAAGTTGACAAACATGTCACAACTAACTTCCCAAGAAAACAATTTTTGCACAACTTTAATGCCAGTCTGTTTAGAGAGATTCATCTATCAAGGTTAGCGGATACAGATGTTATTTTCAGGTTTTCCCTCCAAGCTTCAAGAGCAAAGATTGGACAAGGTGAGATGTTGGTTTCCAGGATTTGGTAGCCTTTTTTTGGAATCAATTTCAGTGTTTGTCCTTGATGTGCAGGTTAATAAATTGATTTCAGTGAGGAGACTTTGTTCTGGATTTGATTTTTTACAAATATGATATATAAAGGTAAACATTTCAGAGCCGTCCCAAGTAAATAAACTTGGTGCAAGTTGTTTTGATGCTGACTTGCAGAGGGGTTGATATCTCAAGGTTGGGGACACAGGTTTTATTTGCTACATTTCTAGCCTAGCACCCCTCTAAGTCCAAGCAGCTATCCGGGAGCTGAAGGTGGACCGGGTGAGACGTTGGTATCCAGGATTTGGTTGCGTGTTTTTTGGATCAATTTCAAATATTTGTCCTTGATGTGAAAGTTCAACAAAAAATGGATTTCAAGAGGAGATAATATTGACAGGGTTTCCGTTTCCGTGGTGCGAAAGCTGATAAACATGTCATGTGTTTCCCCCAAAAAAATATTTTCACCTGTGGTTGATGCCAGTTTTGCAGAGGGGTTCATCTATCAAGGTTGGGGGCATAGATTTTATTTCTTCTTGGTTTTTCCTCCAAGCTTCGCCCCGCTTGGTCGAAGCAGCTATCCGGGAACAGAAGAAGTACAGGATTTGGCAGCCTTTTTGTTTGGGTCAAATTCAATATCTTGACATATCTTGACCTGAAAGTTCAATAACAATAAGGTTTCAAGGTGAGGAAATGTGTAACGGTGAGTTTGACAAACATGGCAGCAATGCTCAACAAAATAAACTTCATGCACCTTTGCTGCAGTTTGACGCCAATTTTGCAGGTGTTTTCATCAATTTCATCAATCAAGGTGGCTGTTTCTTCCTTTCCAATCAAAGGTGTAGGTTGGACCTAAATTGAAGGGGGCTGACATCCGAAAATAAGAGACGTACCAAGCCTCACGTAGGACAAAAATAACATTCAAAGGCCCAACCTTCAAAAAAAAAATCAACGGGCCTGACCTGAAATTGGAATGAGATAAAATCCAAGGGCTGGACCCCCCCTTGGGTCCTCTTTGGAAGCGAGTACCCTTGAGGGGACCTAGGGGGGTCCAGCCTCTTAGAATTTATCTCACACTTATGATCGAGATAAAATCTAGCATGTCTGCAGATAAAATCAAGGGACCTATCGTCATTTTTACTAAGGCTAAAAAAAAATAGCCATGCACCCCAGGGGCTGGAGCTCCTAGATCTCAGCTGGGAGCAAGGATCGGGTATGTACATTATCTTCTGATCTTCATCTTGGAGCATTTGAGGTTCTGCAAAGACTATGTATATATATATTATTATAGATAGCTGTCTTATTGCTCTTGAACATTCTTGCGTTAGTAATAAAACCTCCAATAAAACATGCTAAGCATTGGTCATGGTGACTTTCCTCTTGGGGTAAGACCAAGGTATTTTTCGAACATATTATGTAAGCACACGAAAGTGGTATAGTACAATCCTTGCTGGTGCAATATCAAAGCCGTCCCACTTGTCATCAAGTGGCTAATCAGCCGGGAACACTGTTGTAGACTACTTTGATGTTCCTAAAGCTCCGACAGTTTGACAGTTCCTCAGAAATAACAGCAGCAACACATGACTGGTTGGTGGTTTCAACCCCTCTGAAAAATATGAAAGTCAATGGGAAGGATGACATCCCATATATGAAATGGAACACAGAAACATGTTTGAAACCACCAACCAGATGACACTTCCATCCATTTTGGGGATGGAGGTTCTCCGTCCACGGCCAGGCACTGCTTCCGCATGTTGCGCTTGATGACTCCAAGAAATTTCCGGCGTCCGTCGGGAGTATGGATGCAACCTGACGGCGGTGCTTGTTGGGTGTGTCTGATAATAATGACCAACAGATGATAATAGGGTATATTGTATAAACCCATAGATTCAATAGATGATAATATATAGATGATAATATATCATTTACCCAAATTCTATTATCATTCTGATCATTATGATAATAGGATATACTGTAGCCCAAAATGATGATAAACATTGAGACAGCCTTCAAGTTCCAGCGAACTCGACACAGGTTTACCATCAGTTGGACCCTTACGCACGAGTACTGCTTGGTTAACAGGATTCCCCTTTTTTGTGAGTGACAACTCTGTAAAAAAAGGTGGTGGAATCGAAGAACCTATCAACCAACCATCATTGATATTCATTGATCAGTTACATCCACAAACACTTCATCTTATAACCCCCATGCTTGAACCTGGTTGAAACCCTAAAAACATGCCCCAACTAGAAAATCATCAAACTATGGTACTATGATGTACTATGCCCCAATTTCAATGACCAGAAAATCATCAACCACTCCCGGCACCGAGCGACAGGCACCAGGATGCTTCTCTGGACCTCGATCGATGGCTTCTCGAAGCCGCTGGATGTTCGCGTCGCAGACCTGCGGGCTTTTTCCGGGTGGAAATCAACAGCTACACCAATTTGATCCAATTTCTACATCATTTTCAGAGGGAAACAATCTGGGTAAATTATAATAATTCACTAACCTGAAATAAGGCCATTTGGGGATGATTTCCCATATAAAAACCATGATTCCAGTGAGGTCGCAGTGAGGTCGTTATAATTTACCCAGAACAATGGGTTTTCATAGGTTTTCATGGGTTTTCCATGTCTGAGTAAACTGAGTAGACCGTGCCTGTTCCATCTAATGGAACGGGGATCTAAATTGTCCCTTCAACCAGTTCAACAAATTCATCAATCAGTATGAATCAACCATAATTCAAATGTTTCCCATGGTTCCTCAACTCTTTAGCTGCTTAGTCGTCTCCATACATTTTGGATTGTTGTGTCTGAAAATTTGCTACCGCCCAAATTTGAATGCAAAAAATCATACTTTCCCCTGTGAGAAATGGCCACAAGGCATACATTCGCCATTTTCAGACACACAAACATCATATCAAGTCGAACATACTCCAATGTTATGCCGCAATGCCATGACATCCCCATTGGCCCATCAACAATCAGATAACAATCAGTATGCCATAAATACGATATTTATAATATAAGCATCTATAGACCTATATACCAATCAATATACCATAAATATATACCCCCAGGTTTATATAACCGTTAAACCCCAACCCCATTGCCGTTCTCCGTTCAACCCGCGCCTTCTCGGGGAAGGTCATCCGTTTCGCCACCCACTCGGGGATCACCACCTCCTCCACGCTGACGTTGGGATCCGGCGAGATCACGGTTCGAGCTGAGAAGTCCACGCGTTTGCCGCTCAGGTTGCCACGGAAACCTCGGCACTGGGCCGATTTTTTGGAAGGTGAAAGGAAGAGGGACTGGCATTTTTCAAGATTTTTTTTGGGGGATGTATGTTTTTTTTGGTGGAAGATTGGGTGTTAAGGATAATTTGAGTTGATCCTCCGATGGTTTTTTGATGTTTGGATGGTCTTTTTGATGATGCTGCGTAGTGCTGGACTATTCTTGTTGGATAGAGTCTGAAAAATGGCAGCTTACCAGGAGAAGCAAAAAACACTTCTCCTGCAGAAAGATCCACTACCCGATAATGGGGGCTATGACTATCCATAACTCCGTAAATCTCCTTAGCTCATCGGCCGGTTCATCTGCAGAGCAAGAGACGCCCTTCTTTTCCTTTAAGTCTGGTGCAAAGAGAGCGTACCATTTTTCCTTTGATCTGCGGCAGTCCTGACATCTCCTCATGTGAAGAGCGGGAAGAGCAAAAAACGAAATGGATCACGGCAATCATTTCTCTGTATAGAAAAAGCAGATCACATACAAGTGGCTGAAACCAGGATTCTTTTTTTGTCCAACAGAAATACCATCCAGCCACTGCATCCCCTTGGGGAAAGATTTCGAAAAATATTGCTGAAATTACCAGGCAGTCTCCGAATTGATGTATCTGGCACATGCTTCTTGGAGAAACTCCTGGGCGAAGTCAGAGCTTTGGCACCCAGCAGTTGCGGAATGCATCCACCAAAACGCTATTCAAAACAACATGCTCACATTGAGCATTGCCCTCCAACAACGTTACAGCATCATGGACTCCTGAAAAGAGGACTCTCAAGAGGAGCGTGGTTCATGTGGTTCAGGGGTCCGGGCTTGTGTCCGGTCTTGGGAGTCTGGGGTGGAACTTCCACGCTCGACATAAAGCTGGAACCCTCCTTCCCTGGAACTGAAAGACGTTGAAAAGCCGTAATTGTCCAGTCCCATAATAGATCAACAAAGGCAAAAATGACCAATATTTATATCGTGATCTTTGTTTGAGCGGAAGAAATGATACAGGAATTCAATGGAGTTCAGGGTTCTTGAGTACCACGGCTCACTTGAAAGGGTCCAGTGGACTTAGCTTGACTCTGAAGGGGATCATTCTAGAATTCAAATGGGCCGCTGTTGCAACTTGGGTATCTTGATTCTGATGGGAATTTCTACCTTGTCTGCACATCATCCGGTAAAGCCTTTTGGATCGAACCCAATCTCATGCTACCCATATACTGAAGATGCTTCCTTTACAACTACTGCAGAGCTACATATACTACATAATTCCGCAATCGTAACCTCTGAAGTTTGGGGTGCTACACCAATCAGTGGCAGTTCCCAAGAGGTTGTGACCAAAAATCATAAACACCGAAAAGCACCGGCTTTCCGTACTGAATCAAAGCTTGGAGGGATTCCTGTTTGCAGGGTTACCATCCCCCGCCCAGCTAAACAGGCTCTGACCTAACAAAAATATAAGAAACATCAAGCATGATCAAACATGATCAATGGTTTGTCTGAAAACACTAGGGACCCACTGATGGATCATGATTTCCCTATAATAAACCCCTTCCCGCTATTACTAAACCCCCCCCGAATAAAAAAACTAGGGTTCATCTACAATTTTGGAAAATTTCAGGTTGGCCAATTTGACTTTTAATTGATCCCCTTTAGACAACAATTTAAAAATAAAGCTACTATTTGTGGGTTTCACCCCCTAATAATAAAAACTAGTCAGCCCCAGTGTGTGTTTTTTATTAGGGTCCGTCCGAAAATAGTTGTTTTTTTTAATTAAGAGTTTTAATTTATTATTAGGGTCCGCTTCGAAATCCAAGTTTTGGCAATAGTTTAATTGCGTTATAAAAGGAAATTTAATTGATTTTGAAATCGAAAAAAATAGTTTCTTTAATTAATTAAGGGTTTAAGTTTATTATTAGGGTCCACTTCGAAATCCAAGTTTTGGCGATATGTTAATTGCGTTATAAAAGGAAATTTAATTGATTTTGAAATCGAAAAAACTTATTTTTTTAATTAAGGGTTTAAATATATTATTAGGGTCCGCTTTGGTTCCCTAATAATAAATACCCCCTAATAGTAAAACTACCTGAGGTGTTTATTATTTGGGGAGGGGGGTTTGTATTATTAGGAGGAGAGGATTATTTTCCCTATGACAAACGTGTCATTTGGATTCATTTGGGTGCTACATCCCAAAATTTTTTAGACACTTTCATAACACATTTAACATCATTTAACTCATTAACCAACAACTGGCCAATTTTTAGTTTTTTTTTTAAAAGTTTTTAGACGCTTTCATAACACATTAACTTAACATTCACCACGAAATGGAGTCCCAACGGCCCAAGCTATGTCCAGGTGAGCGTCCCAGGCTTCCAGAATCTGCCGAGGGAAGCCCCGCGCCAGCTGCTGCTGCAGAGCTGTGTTGGCCTCTACGATCTGTCCCACCGCCACGGTCAAATCGTCCTCCCGCGTGCCGCGGTCGCCCATGCTCCTAGGGCCGGATGTGGACCATGGGGGGTACCATGGGGGGTACCATGGGGCAGTGGAGGTTGTGATCACTTTTTTTGTTAATGAACATCAAGAAGTCAAACATTAGATTTTTCTGGCTCGTGGTTGGAACTAAGTAAAGGATTACAAATGGAACCAAATGAACCAAGAATAAATGGCAAAAGGATCGAAAGGGAAGTACTTGACAGGCAAACTTGATCCACAACTCAACATAAAAATTGAATCTACAACCATAACCATGGACAGTGTACCTGCAAACACAAGTATCTTACACACACAAGTAGCAAACGTAGGTAAATGATAGTGAATGAAATCATGAAAAAGTAGTTCAACAAGGTCACCAAACAATGGTGATGTAATTGTCCTCAAGCCCCGGACCGCTCAATTATTTGATTGAAATCCATATTTCATTCTGAAGCTGGAAGTCCGTGCTCGAGAAATCGAAGTTTGTCAGTTTGGATAGACATAATTCAAAGTGTGAACAATTTCCCAAAGGTCCCAACATCCTGCAAGTGCAGGCTCGCCACAGAAACCTGCCGAGGCTTCAGAAAAGACCTGCCTATCTCCTTCAATTTATGAAACTTCGAAAAAAAACATACAGGACTTGCCAACCATTAGGATTTAGCATTCAACCAAAATGGATTTCTAGATTCCCCCCACCTTCAAGTTTTTAATGCCCCGAGTAAACTCAATAAACCCACAGTCTCTTGCCACCAAGGAGCACGGTAGGTCGGATGCACACCGGTGGCACCGGCACCGCGAAGAGGATGAGTTGCTCGGGACGTACTAAGCCCAGCAGTTCGCGATCAATGGGTGGAACTCTCTTCAACAACTCGTAGGCTTCCTCGGATTAAAAAACATGTCCCATTTTAACATGTCCATCTCCCAACTGGCCGGTGAATGGTCCGGAGAGTCTCTGGCGATTATATGCCATGCTGCTAATTGACACATATTCATACATATTCACTCTATACAACCGGGTTGAAATATAGGGGATGACCTTGTGCAGGGCCTTGGTCTGCTTTCCAACCTTGGGCATCCGGCATGATTCCATGACATGCCTCATTCGTGTTTTTAACCGTGGCTCCCAACACAAAGCTACACAATTGATTCCAAAAATATATTCTACACAATGTTTCTGGGCTTTTATGTGATTCCAAAATCAGCAGCTACATTTTCTTCCCTTCTTCTGGCTGGAGAACTTACCTTCAAAAAAGGTACTTAGCTACAAAGTGTATTTGCCCGGACTGTATATGGGAAACTGAAAATTGACGAAACTTTCGCTCACATTGTGGCCCCGGCCTGCCATTCTGCTGAAATTTCAACCCCGATCCAGCTACATCTCCCATAGGCACCGCATCTCTTCTCAAATGCCGTCACTAATGCTGCATGGCCAAAGCCAACAACGGCCACTAAAAACATATCCTATGAGAAACATGTGTCGATGCTGTTCCAACTTAATCCAATTGATAGATAACACTTTTATACTTACACATATCGAGTTCAGGCCACATCTTGAGTTTTTTCACAGATCTCCGCCATTTTAAAAATGGCCGAGTTTCCAATGGGTTGTAATCTGCAGATGCCTTCTCAGCGTAGGGCTGGAGTTCTTTGTTGAAATCTCTGGCGTCTCGGAAAGTCTCGGAGAATTCTTTGCTCATGTCATCAGGTGCGTTCCTGGGGAGAACAGTCAACAGCCGGTAGCCAGTATAGTCAGTATATATATATACACATGACATATATATATATCATTTATACATATATATATATATATAGTACTGAGTACATGTATGGATATGTATAGATGTATAACTGTATAATTGATTGAACACTTGGAATCTTTGGTGGTGAAACAATTCTTTCTGAGAGTTGTTTTCTAATATGTTTGGTCCACTTGAAGACCATTGCAATCGTTGCTCCCCTCTTGAGTAGCAAATTTAGGGCATCTCTATCATGTTTGATCCCTCAGTTCTTGTCTGAAAATGAACATGAGCACGTGTGTGTGTGACATGTGGGCAGTCAAATTTATAGTCAACGTTGGGACCTTTCCCTCCTTCTCAACTAAGACGCTTAGGGCATTTTTAGCTACTCGTTCAAAAGGGATCCATGGAAGTTTCGCATGCCAAATCCAAAGAATTCTGGCCCGGCACTGGAAAGAAAGTCCTTTCAAATCATCCCAAATTCACCGATGAAAAACTAGAACCACCAAGCAGTTATGTTGGTATATATTACACGTAAATATAGTATTATAGAATCACACACATGGAACATGCAAATATAATACAATATATATATACACATACACATTATGCATAAATATATGCCTGCATGCATGCAGATATGCATATAATATCATATATACATTAAGATACAGACAGGCAGACAGACAGACAAACAGAAAGACAGACGGACAGACAGACAGACAAACAAACAAACAAATCGGCAAAAAAAAATACATACCATACATACATACGTACGTATGTACGTACGTACATATCATTACAAAACATTGCATGCCATTACATAACATTACATAACACTACATAACATTACATAAAATTACGTAACATTACATAACGTTTCACAACGTTACATAACATTCCATACCATTACATAACATTACATAACATGAACAACATTACATACCATTGAATAACATTACATAACATTACATTACATAACATTACATTAGAATACAATAAATTACATAACCTTACATTACAATATATATTACATTACATTGCATTACATTACATTACATCAACAAAAACAATATTAACTTACATTATATACACTGCATTACATTAAAAACATACGTACATACGTATATACGTACATACGTTTTTACGTACATACGTACGTACATATAGTAATTACATGAATTACATTAATCACATTAACTACATTAGTTACATCAACTACATTAATGACATTAAGCACATTAATTTACATTTTTTATATGATGATATGAACAACATGAATTACATATATACATTAGTTTTATGCAAAAATCAATTACATACATACATGCATACATACATACATACATTACATACATACATTACATACATACATACATACATACATTACATTACATTACATTACATTACATTACATTACATTACATTACATTACATACATACATGCATACATTGCATTACATTGCATTGCAGTGCATTGCATTGAAGCCCATTGCGTTGCATTGCTTTGCATGGCATTGCGTTGCATGCATACATAGCTACACACCTACATACCTATACACATACATACCATACCATGGCATACAATACCATGACATACCATACCATAACATAACATAACAAAACATTACATAACATTACATAACATTAAATACATGCATGCATGCATACATACATACATTACATACATTACATCCAATTTCATGCATTACATACATTACATAAATTACATACATTACATACATTACATACATTACATACATTACATGCATTACATGCATTACATGCATTACATACATTACATACATTACATACATTACATACATTACATACATTACATCCAATTTCATGCATTACATACATTACATGCATTACATGCATTACATGCATTACATGCATTACATGCATTACATACATTACATACATTACATACATTACATACATTACATACATAACATACATAACAGACATAACACACATAACACACATAACACACATAACACACATAACACACATAACAAACATTACATACATTACATACATTACATACATTACATACATACCGTACATACCATACATACCATACATACCATACATACCATACATACCATACATAACATACATACCATACATACCATACATACCATACATACATATACACATACATACATACATGCATGCATGCATACATACATAGATCCATACATACATACATACAATACCATACCAAACCATACCATATCCATACCATAACAAAACATTTACTAACATTACATTACATTACATTAATTAAATTACATTACATTACATCACATCACATTACATCACATTACATTTCATTACATTACATACATACATACATAAATATATATATATACATAATGACATATATGTATATATATACATACCATTCCATACCATAGCATACCATACGTTACCGTATCGTACATTACCATACCAAACACTACCATGTCATACTTTAGCGAACCATACATTACCGTACCATACATTAGCATACCATACATTGCATACATTACAGAACATTACAATTACATACCATTACATAACATTACATAACATTACATACCATTACATAACATTACATAACATTACAAAACATTACAAAACATTACAAAACATTACATACCATTGAATAACATTACATAACAATACATAACATACCATAGGATTGCATTACAAACCATACATATATATATATTTAATATGCATATTTAATATTAAATATACATAATATATTATATATATGTATGTATCTGTATGTCTAGATATACCTACGTATATATATATATATACACTATACATATTAGATAACACTTGGTAATCAGACCTGACCCTGCAATTGGACATCCTTCATCTAAACATGTTCTTCTTGGATTTGGGGATTTATATGGATTTATCAGATTCCCAAAGGGTACGCCTTATCGTTGCCATGATTGTCTGTCCTTGATCTTCCAAAATCATCAGCAATCTCCCAACCAGCAAATCATATAATATACTAAATCTGGTTGGTGGTTTCAACCCCTCTGAAAAATATTAGTCAGTTGGGATGGTTATTCCCATATATTATGGAAACATAAAAGCCATGTTCCAAACCACCAACCAGTATATTATACTCCCCCCCCAGGCGAGATTCTTGTTGGAGGGGCCAACCTGATGCTTAATCATCAATGGCACGCCACTTCCTTTCCGCACGGAAGCGTTATGCTCCTCAGTACCATTCAGTAGCCATGAGTTGAGCGGCGTTTGGGGTCGACCCTCCACTCGTCAGTGCCCAGGTGGTCTGTGGATGTCTTTGGCGGAAGTTTTGATACTTCAGACCAGATCCTTCAGGATGTTTTTGGGAACAACATGGAAAAACATGGAAAAACAAAAAGAATCATGTGAACACGCTCTACCACACCAGTGAAACCACATGATCAAACAATTGGCTGGCTCTTCCCAGATCTTGCTAGTGACGCCAGCTATACCCGTACCGAAAACCCTACTGAACCGGCAAGAATTGGTTTCAGGGATCTAGGAACCCACAACTCAATCCATTTCTTGTCAAACTCCGCAGAATTTCCTGCGGATGTGCCGCGGTCACATGCCGAACTTTCAGGACCTTCCGGGTACTGAAACAACGACTTGTTTTACATATTTTATCACAGAATACCCACCCATACCCCATCTTTGAATCTTTGGGAACATGCTATAGATTTCCGTTGAATTTCCATTAGATTTCCATAGATGTCCCATAGATTTCCTATGAAAAAAAAATCCGGACCAAGTTGCCCGACAATGTGGACACACCCGGGTCAGCTTGCAGCTTTCCAAGATCCTTGGCGCAGGCGCAACTGAACGTCACTGAAGATGATTTGGCAACTACATGCAACTACTTACTTCAAACATGTCGTCAAAGCCCCTGACTTTGGTGTGTAAGATCCACAGTTTCACAATTAAGATCCCCGTGTTCACCCTCTTCATTGTGCAAGTCACATTGATCAGACATTTCCGTTTTTAAAATTTGCCAATGAGCAAGTGGGGATGGGTAGCTATTTTTGGGTAGATGAACATCATTCAACATCCGTTTGCAAATGATTTTTTGTGTCAAGTCAGCAGGGTATAGCAGGGTTTTGGCCCCTACAAGTAGCAAAGTCTCTTGCAAATCCACAGCGTAATCATCATTTTCCCTACTACGCTGGCCATATATTAGGGTTAATTTGACTAACCATTTTCAGACACACCCATCTTTCCATGAAACATCTTTGGTTAAATCATGTCAAATCCCTTTTTTTTGAAGGTGAACAAGTCCCATTTTACGCCCAAATACTGTATCATCTTGATATGCATATATCACAAATCCCCAGTATATCCCCATTGAAATCCTATGAAATCATCATTTTCCCTATGTTGTCCCCATGTTTTGTTCCCAAGTCTCTTCCTGTGCAAGCTCTGTTTCTGCAGGTCGTCCGTTGTGGGCTTCCGCAGCCGTCGCACGTAGCGCAAAGCCATCTCGGGCGACAGCATCAAACGGCCGCAGGCCTTGGGGAGCCATCACATGACATCTCGTCTATACAAGTGATATATATATATATATATTATATATAGATAATATATATAGATTATATATATATGAAAATAGAACTCTTAGATTGATTGATGGATGGATGATATAGATTTAAACTCGATATATATATATAGATTATATATATATATATGAAAATAGAACTCTTAGATTGATTGATGGATGGATGATATAGATTTAAATTCGATATATATATATATATATATATATCCGCCGACCCCTGCCGACAGCAGGGGGAGCGCGTCAGAGAAGAGATTACAAGCAACAAGTGTTGTGCAGTGCAAGTGAGGGGCAAGCGAGGGGGGGACAGAAAGGGAAGCCAGGTGCAGAGTAAGAAGCCCAAAAAAGGAAGCGAGAAAGGAGAGGCAGTCTCAGCGAACGTAGCAAGCGAAAGAAGCACGAAACAAGAAGTTAGAAGCAAGAATGCAGAAGCAAGAGTAAACGAGCGACAGAAAGTAATGTTTGGCACTCTGGGCTACGGGCCGCGGGCCCAATCCGTCCTTCACTGCCATGGTGTTTTAGCCCTGCGAGGAAGTCCCTTGACCGGAGCTGTGCCGCACGAAAGCCAGCTGTCAGACAACGCAGGCAAGTTGGCTGTTGGCAGTGCAGGAACGCAGGGAAAAGCTAGGTTTGAGCTGCAAGATGACGCAGGCAAAGTGGCAGTTGGCAGTGCAGGAAGGCAGGGAAAAGCAAGGTTTGAAGCTAGTTTCTAGGCAGTTCAGAAAGCAACGTTAGGCACCGTGGGCTGCCGGCTGCGGGCCCGATCCGTCCTTCAGTGCCATGGTGTTTGGGCCCTGCGGAGGGGTCCTTTGACCGGACCTGTGCAGGACGCACGCCAGCTGCAAGAAGACACGGGCAAGCTAAGTTTGGAGCTCGTTTCTAGGCAATTCAGAAGGCAACGTTAGGCAGTGGGGGCCGTGGCCCGCAGGCCCCGTCCGTCCCTCAGGGCCCTGCTGTTTCGGTGTGGCGAGCGCGCCCTGTGTGAGCCTTGGCGGCTGGAAGACAGGTCGTGGCGGCCGTGGCTCGCACGCCCGGTCCGTCCTTCAGGGCCCTGCTGTTTGGCTGTGGCGGAGGCGCCGTTTTAGGTCAGACAGCTACTTTTCTTGTAGGTTCAGAAAGCAACGTTAGGCAGTGGGGGCCGTGGCCCGCAGGCCCCGTCCGTCCCTCGGGGCCCTGCTGTTTCGGTGTGGCGAGTGCGCCCTGTGTGAGCCTTGGCGGCTGGAAGACAGGTCGTGGCGGCCGTGGCCCGCAGGCCCGGTCCGTCCCTCAGGACCGTGCTGTTTTGGCGTGGCAATCGCGCCGTGTATGAGCTTTGGCGGCTGGAAGACAGGTCAGGCAGCTTGCTTTCTTGTAGGTTCAGAAAGCAACGTTAGGCAGTGGGGGCCGTGGCCCGCAGGCCCGGTCCGTTTGTCAGGGCCTTGCTGTTTCGGTGTGGCGAGCGCGCCGTGTTTGAGCCTTGGCGGCTGGAAGACAGCAAAGAGAGTTACTTTTCTTGTAGGTGCAGAAAGCGACGTTAGGCACTGAGTGCGGTGGCCTGCAGGCCCGGTCCATCCTTCAGGGCCCTGCTGTTTGGCTGTGGCGGAGGCGCCGTTTTAGGTCAGACGGCTGCTTTTCTTGTGGGTTCAGGGGGCGACGTTAGGCAGGTGGGGGCCGTGGCCCGCAGGCCCCATCCGTCCCTCAGGGCCCTTCTGTTTCGGTGTGGCGAGCGCGCCCTGTGTGAGCCTTGGCGGCTGGAAGACAGGTCGTGGCGGCCGTGGCCCGCAGGCCCGGTCCGTCCCTCAAGACCCTGCTGTTTTGGCATGGCAATCGCGCCGTGTATGAGCTTTGGCGGCTGGAAGACAGGTCAGACAGCTAGCTTTCTTGTAGGTTCAGAAAGCAACGTTCATATTGGCACTTGTTGTGGCGTGACTGGGTTCGGATATGGACCAGGCATGGAACGGGTCTGGATCGGGGTATGGATCAGGACACCATGCTTTTTTAGTTCTACACGTGCCAGGCAAAGTAGAAACAGAAGGACTTGTAGTCATAGCACCACTAGAAGTACAATAAGCACCTAGTGGAAGTAGAACCGGTCTTACAAGCCTCCAAGGTGCACTTGCAATATTGCGAGTAGCTAGTCAACTAGTTACATTTGTCCAACAACCGAAGCACACGGAGAACATGAGCCAGCACCAGCAGCGAGAGCACGACCAGCAGGAGCAGTAGCAGCAGCTCCTGGGAGGATAATCACTAGTAGTGGCGGCGGCAGCAGCAGCGGAGGCAGTGGAGGCAGCAGTAGAAGCAACGGTAGTAGCGATGGGAGTAGCAGTACGACGACCAGAAGCAGTATATATTAGGATAAAAAGCATCGTTAAGGCCAGCATCAGTCTTTCTTCAACGAGAAAGGGGTATGGATCTGGGGTATGGATCAAGGGTATGGATCAAAGTATGGATTGGGGGGTATGGATCGTGTGTAGCTTTGGCGCCTTGATCCATACCTTGTATTTTGACTCGTACCCATATAGTTTTCTTCTAGGTTCCGGAAGTGACGTATGTGTCAACTCCCCCTCTCTCCCAGGGGTCGGCGGCAGGGGGCGTAGCCCCTTAATCCGGCGACGCCGTCCGGTGGTGGTGGCTAAGCATAGCTTTAGCTACCCGGGGGCGCGCCGGTGCCGCCGACCCTCCGGCGACCCTCCCCTAAAATCCTTCAGCCTGGTGGGGTTTTCACGTTTTTCGGGGTCTGGGGTGGACAAAAAGAGGGTGAAATTTCAAGATGCGTTTGGGAGGTCCTAAAATCGGAAAAAAATGCCGTTTTGACACATTTTTCGGACGATTTTTCGCTTTTCGGAAGTCACAAAATGCTGTAAATTACAACATTTTTGCGTTTTAACGTCGTTGGCGGGAGCCATGCACAAACGCAGAAAATGCTGTAAATACCAGTGCTAAGCCAAGCAAAAAAACACTGTAAATTACAGCATTTTTGGCGGGTTGATCGCAAAAAATGCTGGTATTTACAATGTTTCTGCAATTTCAAGCAAACGTGGAAGGCACGAAACACTGTAAATAGCGGTGTTTTGGCAACTTTTGGACGCCGAAACGCTGGTATTTACGCAGTTTTTTGCTTGTGACGGGGCCACTCCCCTGTAAATTACAGCATTTTTTGCACTTTTTGAACCGATTTTTTGTCTTGCTGCATGCAACAAACGCTGGTATTTGCACGTTTTTCAAAAAATCGAAGATCGTGATGTGAACGAAACTCTGTAAATAAGAATGTTTTAGCCACTTTCGGGGACTAAAACTGTTGTATTTACACGGGTTCTTGCCCTCTCACAGCGCAAAATGCTGTAAATTACAACACTTTGTGCGCATAGGCATAGGCCAACATAGCCTCAAGATGGGCCAACATAGCCCCAAGCTGGGCCAACATAGCCCCAAGATAGGCCGCCGACCCTCAGCATGTCATGTTCGCAAGTTCAGATGACATCCCCCTCTCTCTTTCCCTCCCCCGACCCCTACCGGCGTCGCCGGTGTGCGAAGCTCTACAATAATACTTAAAACACAATGGCCTATAGATGGTAATCCCCCGCAACCACCGAGTTGGCCCAGTCGAGTTCATTGATGCAGATGGAAATCTATGGAATCCTTCTGCAGAAATTGGTGTTTTTGGAAGACCCTCTTGGTATAGCAGTCCGAATTCAAGCGGTGTTTTGAACAGCTATATTCAAAATCTTGGACAGGAAAAGACCAGAAAAATAGTAGACAAAAACAAAACACCAGAAAAAATATCAAAAAATACCAGAACAGAATAATGCTAGAAAAAATCAGAACATCAGAAAAAAACCAAACCGAAAAGGACTAGAAAAACACTAGAGAAAAAACAAAAAAAAACTAGAAAAAGACCAGAACACCAGAAAAAGACTAGAAAAAACCCAGAACACCAGAAAAAGATCTCTAGAAAATACTGAGGAGTTTTGAAATACCAAATCAACACCTGTCCAGAATACCAGCACCTCTCAAAGAAAGGATTTCAGCAACATCCTCTATTCTGGGGTTTGGTGTACAAGGGTTCCGCAGGTGTTGCGAACGAGAGACTTTGCAAATGGTTTGAAGCACCTGATGCGTGTGCCTCACAAGGGTCAGTGTAAACATACAACAGATTCGCGGCCCAAACCCACATTGAAAAAATATATCAGAAAGCACATTGGGTACGTCGTATGCGACACAGGTATGGCTCACTGGGAGTCAAATCTGCACAAAATTGATTAGATCATAATTAATCTATATAGATGCTTTTTACCATGCTATTGAACCAAAAGTTGGGGTCCATCATATTGAGCCAGTGCGCCAGTGCCTAAGCCCGGGAAAAGAACAAGAATTCTCATGTTCAAAGCAAACCTATGGGGTTTTTAAAAATCGCATTCCCTCCCGCTCCAAGACTCATTCGAAATCCTAAAGCCGAGATCCAGCGCCCTGATGCTTGGGCTACTGGGATCGTTTGGTTCCAGCAGTACCCTCCGTCTTCCTGAAGCCTACCTATAATCCGCATTCAAGGACTCAATATACCCTCTGGTTATTTAACATAGCCATGGTATAGATGGCCAATTTATAGATGGTTTACCTATTAAACATGGTGATTTTCCATGGCTATGTTAAATAACCAGAGGGTAACCCTTGATAATTCCCTTGAGAACGCCTGATGATACCACCATATTTAGTACAAACCAGCAATCTCTTTCGGATTCTTTGCCCATTTGTGATGCTTCAACCCACAAAAAGTGTGTTAATCAAATAGCTTCACTGCTTCCGTCCACCTTTTTGTATCATCTCTGGATTATATTACCATCTGGTTATTTAACATAGCCATGGAAAATCACAATTTTTATATAATAGGTAAACCCAGGTCAACCATCTATAAATGGACATAAATGGGCCATTTTCCATGGCTATGTTAAAGAACCAGAGGGTAATCCTATCTGTATGGCCAATGGTAGATACCCTCCACAATCCTCCACATCATCTTTTTAGCTGGATAGTACTGTTCCAATCTTTTCCATACACATCCCCATCATTAAAATATATCCAAGGTCGACTCAGTTCCTTTCCAGTCTGCTAGCAGATGCCCTCTTTTTGGCAGTCAAAACCCGAAAACCCATGGTCTTCATATCAAATATACCTGGTCGTCGGATGTGAACATCTCCATAAAGAGCTGTTTTTTTTTTACCCACTGTCCATATATGGATACGATCAATATACTGTACTACAGTATATCAAAAAATATGGGCGAAATATCCATGTCCCACAAATATAATATCCATAGTATGAATATTCAAAATACATATGTTCATTATTCCCCACATTGACGTGTGGGGTTTTTGTTTTAGTTCTGTATCCGCTCCTCCTTCCCTCCCGCCCTTCCCTCCCTCCATCACTCACACTCACTCACTCACACACACACACTCACTCACTCACTCACTCACTCACACACACACACTCACTCTCACTCACTCACTCACACTCACTCACTCCATCACTCACACTCACTCACTCACACACACACACACTCACTCACTCACTCACTCACTCACTCACTCACTCACTCACTCACTCACTCACTCACTCACTCACTCCATCACTCACACTCACTCACTCACACACACACACTCACTCACTCACTCACTCACTCACTCACACACACACTCACTCTCACTCACTCACTCACTCACTCACACTCACTCACTCACACACACACTCACTCTCACTCACTCACTCACACTCACTCACTCACACACACACTCAGTCACTCTCACTCACTCACTCACGCTCACTCACTCACTCACTCACTCACACACACACACTCACTCACTCCACTCACTCACACACACACACTCACTCACTCACTCACTCACTCACTCACACACACACACACTCACTCACTCTCACTCACTCACACTCACTCACTCACACACACACACTCACTCACTCTCACGGCGTCCCTCGGGCTCCGCGTCTTTTGCGTGGCAGGCGTGGGACAATGTGCACTGCCAAGGGGTCGGATGTACGCCCTGGCGTCCCTCGGGCTCCGCCTCTTTTGCGTGGCAGGCCTGGCACAATGTGCACTGCCAAGGGGTCGGATGTACGCCCTGGCGTCCCTCGGGCTCCGCCTCTTTTGCGTGGCAGGCGTGGGACAATGTGCACTGCCAAGGGGTCCGATGTACGCCCTGGCGTCCCTCGGGCTTCGCCTCTTTTGCGTGGCAGGCGTGGGACAATGTGCACTGCCAAGGGGTCGGATGTACCCCTCGGGCTCCGCCTCTTTTGCGTGGCAGGCGTGGGACAATGTGCACTGCCAAGGGGTCGGATGTACGCCCTGGCGTCCCTCGGGCTCCGCCTCTTTTGCGTGGCAGGCGTGGGACAATGTGCACTGCCAAGGGGTCGGATGTACGCCCTGGCATCCCTCGGGCTCCGCCTCTTTGCGTGGCAGGCGTGGGACAATGTGCACTGCCAAGGGGTGGATGTATGCCCTGGCGTCCCTCGGGCTCCGCCTCTTTTGCGTGGCAGGCGTGGGACAATGTGCACTGCCAAGGGGTCGGATGTACGCCCTGGCGTCCCTTGGTCTCCGCGTCTTTTGCGTGGCAGGCGTGGGACAATGTGCACTGCCAAGGGGTCGGATGTACGCCCTGGCGTCCCTTGGTCTGCGCCTCTTTTGCTTGGCAGGCGTGGGACAATGTGCACTGCCAAGGGGTTGGATGTACGCCCTGGCGTCCCTTGGTCTCCGCCTCTTTTGCGTGGCAGGCGTGGGACAATGTGCACTGCCAAGGGGTCGGACTCACTCACTCACTCACTCACTCACTCACTCACTCATTCACTCACTCGCTCACACACTCACACACTCACTCACTCACTCACTCACTCACTCACTCACTCACTCACTCACTCACTCACTCACTCACTCACTCACTCACTCACTCACTCATGCAGGATGGATTGTTGATGGATAGATTGAACAGATAGATTGCTAGATAGATAGATAGATGGATAGATAGCCAGAGAGATCGATCGATGAATAGATAGATAGATTGATTGGTAGATAGATAGATATCCTGATGTAAGGACAGATAGACAGATAGATAGATAGATAGATAGACGAGATAGAGAGAGAGAAATAGATAGATGGATTGATTGATGGATGGATGCACGGATAGATAGACAGATAGATCGATCGATCGATAGATCGATAGATAGATGGATTGAAAGATAGATAGATAGAGAGATAGGGAGAGAGAGAGAGAGACATAGATAGATGGATGGATGGAGAGATAGAGACATAGATAGAGATCATCATCATCATCATCATCATCATGTTCATGTGCCAGCGATGTTTACCAGCCACAGGGCATGCAGAAAGAATTCACAAAATGTGCGGCTGCGCTCGAAAGAGTGCAGAACATTACTTTGGTCAGCGAAAGTATGGTGAGCACACCATCGTTTTGATAGTGTGTCGGAAGGCTGGAAAGGCGAGGCCGTTTCGAATGTGTGTTAAACATGTATGGTGTTGAATATGTCAGGCACACCAACAGTTTGTTCCTCACATTGACGTGTGGGGTTTTTGCTCCCCACATTGACTTGACTTGGTGTAGGCTATTCAAATCACTTTTAAGTTATGCCATGCAGTTATGATGTTTCCAGTCTGTGCCGGGAACGGAAAAGAGAACGCAGACACTCACTCACTCACACACTCACACACTCACTCACTCACTCACTCACTCACCCACCCACCCACTCACTCACTCACTCACTCACTCAAACTGGCTGTGCCGAAGTTCTGGATGGGCCCAAACTCCTCTGAGTCCTGTTGTTCCTGCTCTTCATCCGCATTCTCCTGCCGTGCATCCTCCTTGGATTGTCTGGGGTCTGGATTTGGGACCGGTGTGTTCCCGGTCAAGATGCTAGATTGTTTCTTCTCAGCAAGTAGCCCATGCAGTATGGCCGCTGAAATTCTCTGAGCAGATTTTTGTACTGCTTCGACTGCGTGCAACGCTTTGACTCCTCTCTGGCAAACCACTGTTTTCGACTGGATGTGCCATCCATCCACAACATTATGCGCCTCACAAACTGCAGGGATCCAAGTCGCATCTGAGACAACCGCCTTCATATACTCGACTGCAAGCGCCATCTTGAACATGTCTTTGGTGGTGTTCATGTTTTTGCTGGCATTTTTGGCCTTCAAGCCAGTTCTTTTGTCCAGGCCAATGCATATTGGCAGGAGGGTGCGACTTGGACGCCCGACTATCCACCGGCCAAAGGCAGCCTGGGGCCACCAGGAAGATGGGAGAAGCTCATAGAAGCTCTGGAGAAAACCATCACTCACACTCACTCACATTCACTCACTCACTCACCTACCTCACCTACCTCACCTACCTCACCTACCTCACCTACCTCACCTACCTCACCTACCTCACCTACCTCACCTACCTCACCTAGCGCACTCACTCACTCACCCACTCACTCACTTCACTTCACTTCACTTCACTTCACTTCACTTCACTTCACTTCACTTCACTTCACTTCACTTCACTTCACTCACTTCACTCACTTCACTCACTCTCACATCCCTCACTCACACACACCACACTCGCATCACTCACTCACACTCTCACTCACTCACTGTACATGAACATACATACATACACACAAACTCACCCACCATCACCGCTCCATCACTCTTATACTTCCTCTTCCCTTCTTGCTCTTCTATGGTCAGTCTAAGTCTAAAGAAGTTGGTAACATGTGGGGTTATCCGGTCCTTTAATTCTTAATTAATTCAGTAAATTGATTAAATTATGTTAAATCTTCATCTCTGAAGCTTAAATCTGACATGACCAACATTTTCCCTGAAAACAGCTCCAAACCCAGTGGCCTCAGAAACCCCGCGTGGAACACCGGCAAGGCTAGGCTGATGTGTCCGAAGTGGCCCACGCACTCATCGATGCGCTTGTTGCATGTGCCACAGAGCCCAGCTTTGCTGTTGCCTGCCATGGGAGTGGGTCAGAAATTGCTGTTGGCCCAACAAAAAGAAGCAGATTCGGGTCATTTTTAGTATGAATCATCCAATTTTAGGATATTTTAGGTGTGGCTAATTTTTCACCCATAACCATATAAATTCATCACATTGATCAGTGATGATCAGTGAATATCAGTGAAGGATGGACTTTTAGAATTGGAGGTTGAGATGTCTGGTCAAGAAACATGTGGATGTAAAATTTGGAGTTTAAGCAGGGCCGACTTCCTTGATGAGTGGACAAGCAAAGACAGCAATTAGTGTAAGGTGTCAATGAGTGGCCATGCTGAGGGCAGGTTCGTTAATTACTGCAATAGACATTAAAAGAGTTGCATACATAATCATATATACAAAGTGCTTGAAACCACGAATCAGAAAAATCACGACTAAATCATTTTGTACATGTTGTCCCCCTTGCTGCAAATAAGTCACTGCCCATGCGAGAATCCAGTGGGCCGAAAATGAAGGTCTTTTCGGTTGTAATGTCCTTGGTCCAACATGACACATGGATGGTTCAATGCTATACTGGTGAAACAATCAAATGGCAAAATTCCCTGGGTTTGTTTATCTTTTCGATTTCAACACTTTTCAAGAGACAAACAAGTCTTTACGACTACGTTTTAGATTTCTACCTATGCTTCTGGTGAAACACATCTGCTTCCTGATCTGGATTCAGATCCTTTTTATCCATGCCCCCATTTATCCTTCGCAAATGGTGTGCAGGGAGGGGCAGCCAAGGAAAGGATTGGTAAGGCTGCTTTCTGGGTGAATACAGTTGATTGCATTCCCCCTTGAACAACAAAAACGCAACGGTCAAGTTGGACCCTCTTCCCCAACAAGGCTGACAAAATCTGACAAATAAACATGGACACATGGACACCACAGCCACATACATAAATTCACACAAATCAATGTTCCCTTAATTCCCAGTGATGGTCTGCTTCAATACTCGTATTTTCGTGGGGATTTTTTGGCTGTGATCATCCCATTGCTGTCTTCTGGATCATTTGGAAGGATAAGATAGGAGACGTCATCCAACATCATCCAAGTCACAAATATTGTATCCATTTGTCGAAGGAAGTTTAGAAGTCAAACTTCCGACAATATGGACAGATGAAAAGCAGAGATGGGAAGAGGCAGAGAGAAGAGAAAGATTAGAAGAAAGAAGAGTAGAAGAGAAAGAGTAAGAAGAAAGAAGATGCAGATGCGCGAAAAGGTA